ACAAGTATTTGTGTAAGCCAAGATAATTGTTCTGGATCTGGGTATTTGTTTCCCATGGAAGGTTGATGTCAGGCAGGCGGCTGGTCGTGAAAACAAAGCCAAAACCGCTTACAACATGAATCATATGTTTTGCTGACCCCACCTAAGTGGGATAAGAGCAGGAGGAGCATAACCTAAAAAATATTTTTGTTACTTCTACATTTTTTTTAAAAAAATCACTAAATTAATCTGTGAAACTCTCAATCTGAAACCTGGATTAAAAAATCAGTAATGATTTTGTAAAAAAAACCTATGTGTGTTCAATAAGAAAAACATTATTCCGTCTTGGTCTACCTTAAGTCGGTTTACGTCAAGAACTTTGCTTTAGTAACATGAATATTTTCCTACTTATCTAAGAGGAAAATGTTTATTTATAGGAGCTTCTTAAACCCCTTCAATGCCTTCTTAGAACTTGATAGGAAACGTTGCGATGCTTTGCTTGACACGACGTATTTCTCAAGGGCGCATAATTTACTCAACTAACAATTTTAAAAACTCATGTTAAGCATTAAGAATAAATTTGGTGATACGCCGTTCAATACCAGCAGAGTGAGTTTTTTATCTAGATATGTCTATAAAAGGTTTAATCGGTAATATAAAACGCGTCGGTAATATAAGGAAAAATGCTAAATACCACCATGAGGTTACAGAAGATTGTCGATATATTTAGCACGATATACTTGCCAGACAAGAAAGCATTCATGTAAGTAGTTGCTGCAGGGTGGTACCAAAAAGTATTTGCATATTTGCAAAAGTTCTGAGGTAATTTGTAACCTAAGCACTTCTCAGCAACTGGATTTAGAATAGTGATTCAATTTGAGAAGTATTTCCGTCTTTTATAACTGAATAAAAATAGGCTTAGCCTCGTTTTATAGATGTTAGATTCCAATGTTCAATGTAGTCAATAGCGGTCAGTTTCTTATAAACAATTTCCTAGTTTTGTCAGTTTCATGATTATTCTGGCCCAAAATTATATCATAAACAATTAAGATGTAATTGCAAGTTTTACTTATCGCTTTGAGTTAAGTTTCCAGTTTTTTTGTACAAGAGTTTTACACATGACACGGTATTTTCGTAAATTCCTATACTCGTATCTTTCGAGTGTGTTTTATTCACCATTTCAACGGTAGGAATTCCATCTTGAGTACTTTGGGCATACCGTGTGTAGGTAATGACGTAGAAAGGAGTAATCGATAAAAACGTTATAAAAAAGGCTGTACAAGGTAAAATACGTTAGGCGGCAATCTGGAGAACGACGGATATAGCACTTAGCGGAGGCGGACATTACGTGACATCGCCATAAAGATCAGACTTTTATTCCAATCTTTGTTTTATTACGGACAGGTGAAATATGATAACAGCGTTATATTTAAAAGTATTTTGATCAAATAAAAATTAATTTTGTAAATCACTGGATTATTAGCATAAAATTATGCCCATCTGTTATTATTTTAAACAGTACATTTTATTATTTTTACAACAGATTTACATACCATATAGGAAGAATTTAATTATCAAGTTCGAGACAAAGGTGGAGGAGAACTAGGTAGGATTAGTAGATCTCTTTTTGTTGTAGCTATATTATATTTTATAGTAATACGCCGTAATACATTAGTATAGCGTTGTAGATTTTTTTCAACTACTGGTTTATTTAAGAGAAATGTTATATGATTGTTATGATATTATACTTAATTAATAATTGACAATTTATTATTTATTAACAAATTATTTTCATTTGAATATTTGCGATGTTTTGAATTTTTATGCGATGTGATTGTAGTGATATTTTAATTCTAAAAACTTTTGACAAATTTCATATATTTTATCTAGATATTTTCATTTTAACACCAGAACATCGTTATTATAACATTATTTGTATGGTTATGTAAAGTATTTGATACAGTTTAATATTAGACTCCTTAGAAGTACCTACGATAATAGTAATGACATTTATGACTACTGGGACAAAAAAAATGTATTATTTTTACATTGATTTTATTGTTTATTCTTTTTTACTTTATTGATGTCTAATACTATTATTATATTTTTTATATATACTATTTTTTTTTAATTTAATGATTGCATGGCAATTCAATTGCTAAAGCGAAATTTGCATGCTTTTAAACCGCTAAATAGGTTAAAGCGACAGAAATGTACTTAAACATCTTTGTAACCCTATTTATGGCATGTAAATATTTGAATTTGAATTTGAGCTTACGCATTATTTATAATTGCTAAACAAAACATTATGATATTGAGCACCACGTAAGATTTCTTATCCATACAATTTTCTTGTACATTGCTGAGCCAGGTTATGAACATTTTACTGGGACTTCGAGAAGGGAAAATCAAGGTCAATTTTCTAGCGTCACAGCTATGTCATCATCCCTTATCATAAATTTCGCTTGCGTGTCCTGTTTAATGAAATGTCGCTACTTTTTACGAGAAGGATTATATTTTTGGCTTCGGTAGCAAAACGCCTTTTAACGTATTTTATCTACTTATATTATTTTTTAGTATTTGAAGCAATGCGCATACATTGTTATATCGTTTCCAGCACACAAACAATTTTGAATATCGTTTTGCAACGATTCGAACGAGAGATGTCGCCATTGCTTTTAAGAAATTTTTATTTTTTATAGTGCTAATCCCTGCACTTAAGATTATATAATTAGATAGATATATTTTTCAGCCATTTGTGTCCTACTGTTGGGCAAAGGCCTCCTTCCATTTCTTCCACTCCTTGTCGTGGGCTATACCGGACCAATCCCTCGCAAATGCGTCCAGTTCGTCGCACCATCTCCGTCTGGGCCTGCCTCGTCTCTGTCTTACATTTTGTGGGACCCATTAGGTAGTAGCTTTGGCCCAAAAGGTGTTAGGCATGCGGCAGACATGACCAGCCCAGTCAAATTTAAGTTTGGCGGCTTTGTGGCCCGCATCGGAAATTCGCGTTCGGGAGCGCAGTGTGTCATTTACGCGGTCTGTAAGCTTTAGGCAGGACGAAAGCCAGTTTTCATTGAACTGAGAACGTAGTATTAAACGAGAAACGAAATAAAATGATAGAAGCTCATTTGCTTGTGGACAAGGCGTTCGAGAACTTTAGATAGAAATAGAGAAATAGGAAGGTAATCAGAGAAACTGAAGGAATTTGAGAGGGTTTTTTCGGAAGTCGGATCACATTGTCATCTTTCCAAGTCGAAGGAAAACAATCAGTGATTTGTTAAAGATGAAAGTAATTACAGAGATATGGAGATCATAGAGTAAATAAATACTACAGAAATGATGGAGATCCAGGAGTGCAAAGACCATTTTGAGATTAATGCAATCACCACCTACATGAGTTTGAATGGATGGAGAATAATGATCTCTCAACATAAAAATCGTCAAATAGATTAAAAGCGGGAATAATGAGAGAGGGAGTATTCGAAAGAGAAATCAGTGCTAGAGAGCGGTTAACATTAATTAATACTTTTCGAATTATCAATCAATACAAATTTATTGACAATTACTGCAAATTTTTAAAATAAGTTTAATGAATTGTGCGAACTAAATTCTGATGAGATTATTTTTGAGACGAAAATAATTTTTAAATTCTTTCCAATAATTGTTGGTCAAAATGAGTTTTGGTCGACGCTCACATCTTCCGTGACTCGACGGGGCTGCACTGCTGATGCAGAAAAGGTAGGCTGCGAGGGGAGAGGTGCCAGGTCCAGCATTGGCCTTCCTGGCTCTCACAGTCTCTGGCCATCAGACTTAGGGAAGTCCATCGTACACTTTCAAGAGGGATCGACGATCCATCCAAAAGACGTGCTTTACATGTTTGGCTTGCCAAGGGACTTGAAGGAAGAAAAAGCCTTCTATGACAAGGCGATAGGCGCCTTACTTCATAAGGGTTTTAATCAGTGTAAATCCGAAATAATCTAATCCACCCAATGCAATTTAAAAAAAACGCCCTTTTTTGCTCAAAATCGCGGCTATGCGGTGTTGTTCTTGTTTTCTTAGGATGTAAAATTTTTAATAAAAATTTTACTCAGCTTTATAAAACATTGACTACTTGATTGAAGAATCGCATGATTAGTACTACTAAACAAATTAAAATATTTTCATTAATGCTCACACTTTCCTTAAATCTTATCTCTTTTCTACTATTTTTAACTACATATTAATTAAAAAAAAACGGTCAAATGCGAGTAGAACTCGTATGACGAGGGATCCGTACTTACCCAATATACCAACAATAAAATTGGTGAATAATCACCACCGATTTTCTAAAGAACTCAGTAAAATAAAAAACATGCAAATTATTAAATTTTTGTATTTACAAGTTTTCGCGAAAAACTAAATTTTGATTTTGATAGACCTAAAAGGGACTAGTCTTCAGTAAAGTAAAAAAGTAAAGTAACAGCCTATACATATCCCACTGCTGGGCAAAGGCCTCCTCTATACGGAGGGTATCAGAGCATCGTCCACCACGTGGCCCCACTGCGGATTGGCGGACTTCATATATGTTCGAAATATATTTTTTTTTTATTATTTCGAAAATATGCAGGTTTCCTCACGATGTTTTCCTTCACCGCGGAGCACGTGATAAGTCAGCACTTAAAGTTAAAAACTTCATAGGTGCAGGCACCGGGGATCGAACTCAGGTTGCTAGAGTATATTGAATTAAAGGCGAGCGCCCGGACACTGAACTAGTTTAGTTTATTTTTTACCTTTATTCTTTATTGTACACAGAGTATAAGAACACAAAATTACAAAAAACAAATAATGTGCAAAGGCTAACATAACATTAGAACAATATACAAATTATGATAGGTAGGTGTGTAAAACCAGATATACTTATACTCTAAACTCTAAATATATTAAGAAAAAAAAAAAGGTAAAAGGCATTTACGGTACGGATCCCTAAAAACTAACGAATTCTGTTCAAATTATAACATTTTATTGTTAAAATATCTTTATCCAAATACCATATTATGACATTCTAAGTTGGACAAATTCACAATTGCAATAGACTTTGTGTCGCAGAAGTCAGGAACACATACTATTCTTACATATTGGCCATCTTCACCTAAAAAATAGTTTGAAATAATTATTCTTCTTGCAATAAACGAATGTATCAGTTCACATTGAATTTAACAGTTTACCTTTATATAAATCAGTTGCAAATTCTTTACAGTTTCCACTAAAGTAAACAGCTGGACAATTGTAAATTGTGAAGGGATCGGTGTCTATACATGGGGTGCAAGGAACAGTATCAGGGCAAGTTGGTGCAATATGTCGCCACTGTAAAGTTTTTCGCAATATTTCCAAATTATTATCTAGCTTACTGAACTTCATAATATTTTTGATGGGTTCACCTGATGTTCCTAAACATAGAAAACCTACAAAAATCATGAACCTTAATTTTTAGTTGATAAATAAGTTTACAAAGAGAAAACAAAACTTAATAAGCACTCACCACCAATATCACATTCATAGGGATTGGAAACTCTATTGAATGACTTATATTCTACAGCTTTTGGAAAAAGACCTAAAATTAATAAAGTTTTTATAGTGTAGAAAGTAAACAAAAATATATTAATAATTACACTGTTAGAAACTTACAGTAATGAAAGGGTTTTTGGGGTAACATTATTCCAGTAGGATCTTTACAACCTGGCATTAAATCTAGAGGTGCAACTGCACTAACTGCAGCAGAAAAAGAATCAACTGATTCAGCTGAAGCAATGACATCTGACTCATTCAAAGTAATTTCATTTGAATGATTTGCAAAAACACCACCTGAAATGATAACAATGATATAATTTGTTTAAATTTTAATGCATGTTAATGTTTCTATAAATTTACCTGCAATTATAACCCTTACAATCTTGGAAATCTCTTGTTGGTATTCCGAGGTACCACAAAATCCAGACAACCATTCAAGAAAGAGATTTAAGGCAAATAAATGATCAGCTGATTTTGATGCCATATTAAGCCCTGACATAAGAACTAAGTATCTGCAACATTCAAAATTTGTAAATTATAATAAATAAATAAAACACAAATCTGCTACCCATTTCATTATTAGGTCATTGTAGTAATTAAGATGTAATCAGAAATTGTGGTTTTGAATTCTATGTGTTAAGCAGTTTTAGTTTTCATACAAAAACACTAATCACATCTAGTATTTATGATTAATAACAGGTTTACCACATTCAAAATCTTGGCTAAATAAGCTCTCGTGTAAATGCACAATAAATATGTAGTAGTCAAGGTAATAGAATCTTGAATTAAATTTATTAAAAACATTTTTAAATCTACCACTTTTGTTGTACTTGTTGTATATGTTGTTGTAGAACAGATTTTTACCAGCAATAAAATAATACAGCATGTCGTTCCCATCGCGACAATAAATGAACACACATTTAACGCTACTTGCCAATAATCATAAAAAAATATTAATGTTAAACAAAATCCATAGTTAAAAAAAATATTTTTCAAACAAACTATTTAAGTTAAAAAGAAAAAAAATTTGTATCATCCTATACAACTCGCGCCACAGCGTCGCATTACAAGCCTCTCCTTCTAACAGTATGTTTTGTCTCTTTTAAATTCATTCAACCCATTCATATGCTGTGACCTTTACAAATGAACTTTATGTTACAGTTTTATGTAAGGATGTTCTAAAATTGTTTGTTTTGGAAAATTTAATAACTCCGTACATATCGATGTTTAAGGAATGTAAATGTTTAATACAATTTTAAAAAGTTATCCCCTATATGTGTGTTCATTTATTGTCGCGATGGTAACGACACGCTGTAGATTATGTAATACATGAGTATAATAAAACACATACTTATCACTAGTTAACTTTGGCAGAGGTTTTTGTATATTGCACTCAGGCCAACACACATCTTTTATTGTAAATATCCCATCAACATCTTCTGAACCTGCATGTTAAATCACTTAAGTGAACTTTTAAACAAACATCAATCAATCTGATCAAGGTTGAACAAGTCTTACCTAGAATCGCAACAACCACACCTGTGACTACTTTATGAACATCAATACAGTCATTAGATAATTTAATTCTTTGCAACTCATCCTCTAAAACAATACTGTCTGATTCATGAACAAAATGAGTTCTGAAATCATATGAAACAATATAATAAAATTGTCTCTAAATGAAAGTTAATTTATTACTTAATAATTAGAAATAGCAAACCTAGTGGGCTGAGGTATTATTTCCAATTGATCAGAGAGTTCTTTGAGTATACTCGGCTTTAACTGTTGATGTTTGAAAATTGTGCCAATTATTACACATAAAGTATTCTTCTCGCGCAAATCACACAACTTTAAGATCTTATATTTGTTAGACCACTTCTTTTTTATTATGGGGCCTAAAATATTCCTAAACGTATTCAGCCTCGATGAATATATGTGAGCATATTGCTTGGAGAAATCACGGGATACCTCGTAAAACCGTTTTGAACAATCAGTGTAATCAATACTCTGCCTATCTATTTCGACGGGTTGAAATTGATTTTCAGTATAAGAGCTAGTTTTTGAAGTTATATTTGATTTAAATAACATTTTAAACAAAGTCAAGACTTCCTATCAACAGGCGTTCTGTTTACCAGTAACAAAAACTATATTAGCAAAGAGTACTTTTCTATATCTGAAACTGTACTTTTATATATCTGAATATTAGTAAGATATAGAGATGTGTAAGTAATGCCGATGATATCACTCGAGTAATATTACTTAGCATTTAAGTTTAAGATGATAAGTAATATTTGACATTGGCGCCTTTTCGATGTCTATGTCTAACTCAAATCAAACGTAGTGATGTCGAACTTTCAACCGATATATTTTGATCCGATATATCGGTACAAATATTAAATATTGAAAAATCGTATCAAAAACGATATTTTTTTCAAATTCTAATCCCGCACAGAGTCCGTAGGTGTCAAATATTTAATACTTGACATACCTTTTTTTTTAGACAAAGAGGTTTCTAGGACTTATATCCGATATATCAATATATTTCTTCACTTTCGACACACCTGCTCGAAGTGCTCAAACTGTCGATGTTATCATATGGTTAGAGACTGACTTACATTGGTTAAGCACAGCGGCGAGTGGCGAGTCAGTATAGTGGCCAGTGACGGCACCGGCCAAGTGGCTGTTCATACTACAGCAAGTACAGTGGCATTTCTGACATTGTACTTGCTATAGTGGAATCGATAACTCAAGTGCCCCGTGAGGAGGTAAAGAGAGGTGTGCTTTCATAAAAAAATCATGTCTGTTGTATGGGAACACCGCTAAAATATTTTTTTTATTTTTGATTCCGCACCTAAAGGGTAAAACTGGACCGTATTACTAAGACAGACTAAGGCAGATAGACAGAAATAACTAAATGTATTCTTTTTACTCTTCCACTTTAGTGTAAGAAGGCAAATATTTAGTTTATTATTAAATAACGTATCCCTTAATCCTGTTGAGTCCACTGTTTTCCTGGAGGATTATAGTAGATTCAAAGCTCCAGTGCCCATCTATCATCTCTTGCGAGTAGGCTAAGCTCCGCTGTTTTTGCGATTGGGAAGGCTAGGTAGCTATCAGACATCGACACTCCCAGATTTCTTTACTTTAGTTATTTTCTCAGCAACTTATCGTACGTCATTTTGTTGTGAAGTAGTAGTGCATTTGATATAAATTCTATATTTATTCTTCTAAAAAGAGCTGTCCGCCCACAGATGTCCGCCCAATTAAAACATCGGTGCGCAGAATATACTCAGAGATCTTTTTAAAGAGATTATTATACTCACTGTTGCGTCTCAATATATTTATTGTAATATTTTGTACGTTAAACATAATCTTAACTATTACCTTAAGAATAGTTACAGATATAAATTAAATACCAAAAATAAGCAAAAATTAACTAAGCCATTGTTTCGTCTATAAAAGTAAATAGGTCGTTCATGGGGAAAAGTCTGCGCATATCTAATAATATCCCACTGTCGCTATTAAGTCTGCCACTTGATTTAAACGCAAAATCAAAAGTAAACATATGGCTAAAGCCGATTACGGAATATCTTGAGGCCAATGTGTGGAATTAATACTGTTGATACTCACATAGGCTAAAACAAGACTTACACCTGAACTATATATTGTAAACTAATGTTTTTAAAAGAGCAACTGTTGAGTTTCTTGCCGGTTTCTTCTCAACAGAAACTGTTTTCCGAAGCGGTGGTAACTTATGAACGTATCAATATTCATGTAAAATTTTGACGTTTGATAAGAAAGCGCAAGCGTCTATATGAATAAAAATATTTTGAATTTGGGTACGGAACCCTAAAAACGTGTGTGCATTTAAAAATGTACGCACGTAAAAAAGTTATACTTCTGTAGCGTAACAATAGAAAAATGACTAAAAATTTTATCTCCTGTTGCCACAGAAGAACAGTCGCAGAAGACCGACGTGATGTGAAAGTGTTATACTTCTGTGTTTCGTCTAGTGAGTGAGGCAGCTTGTTTCAAATGCGCCAAAAGAAATAGCTCCCATACCTTCAAAAACGATTAAATAATCGAAGCCCAAATGGGATGTATGCTAGTTTTTACTAGCGTGTATACAATTGTCAACGGCCTACGGTGTTTAGGCGTAATTTTAAAATTTAACACAAAGTTTATGTAGTCTGTGGACCGAACCCTACAGTTTTCTTCCCCCAAAATACATGTTGATAAGTTACGCTATAGTAAGTAGGTCTCTCTGAAAATGGCGGGAATTCAGAAAGTTTGTTTGAATAATTTAAACATTAACATAAAAAATGCATTAATTGTGGGCATTATTATAGCGAAAAATAATCCTAGAACTATTGGTAACAAAAAGAAAAGTGGTGATTCCCGAGGTGTTATGTCTTTCACTCTAAGAGATTCTGATGTTGATGTAATTAATGTTGATGTTTGGGGATCTGAATATTTTGTATTAACATTTTACGAACGATTTTTAGTTGGTGATGTTGGTAAAGTATTTAATTTCTACTCATAATATCCTATTTATATTAATAATTTGGTGTATTCTTTAACGTTTGAAAAAAAAAAACACGGCCTTTCATTTGCAGTGGAAATCTCTTCTCCCAAAATATGCATTAAAAGCGGCGATAATGAAATGTTCAGGCCTCAAGTTAGTATTGTCCATATAAATATACTAAGGATACTCCTTTAAATTTGTGTATTCAATGGCATTTTGGTTCGGGTTTATGTATGTTAATGTATATGTATACAACGAAAAACAATTTTTTTAACTCTAAACAAACATTACATGTGTTTATTAAAAAAATAATTATGTGAGGTTACTTTCATACAACATTTTTTTTTAAATATTGGAACCGTGATACCGTATCTAATTATAATATCATCACAATATTTAAAGGTTTCATCCCCATTCTACCTATCAGTTAATGAAGGATCATCGGACGTCAATATTTTTGGTGGAGACACATTTAGTACTTATCTGCCACTTCTGCACATTCCGAGTAAAGCTTCTGCTGGTTACTGCGGTCTCGCTGAAGTTATGAAATTTATTGGTAAATCCATTGTAGTTCTTATCAATTTTAATTTATTTTTAACTACTTTATAATTAAGGGCCGTGATAGCTCAGTCTTCGGGTACTCGCTTGGTTCAATTCCGGCTACCGGCACCGATGCAATTATTCATTGCAATTTTAATAACTGCTAACTTTGGTAGGGTAACTGTTTACGGTTTGGTAGGACCACGCAGCAGCCTCGGCTGTTGCACGAAAGGGCAGGCCCGTCCAGGTAAGTACCACGACCTCACAGAAGACCGGCGTAAAGTGGAAGTATGACAAATACTTTCGCGTTTCGTCTGGTGAATGAGGTAGCCGGAGCCCAATTTTCAAAAGGTTGTTAAGGAAAACATTGTGAGGAAACCTCGTCGGCATGTTCTTAAAATTATAATAAAAACAATTTTGAAGATATGTGAAGTCCGTCGGGTAGACGTCGGAGAGAATAATTATTTAAAACATTAAAATAAGTGCTTTTTTTTAATTACAGAAGGCAATGGCAGCTTATATGTCGATTTGTTGGTGGTTGTGAAATCCGTGCAACCAGCGAAGACAATAAAAACAAAAGCTGGTATTTCAATATTAATTTGTAATCGATGCATTGCATAGTCCATTCTTGAAATCAGTATTACGGAACAAAATAACAACTATTTCAATGTATTAGGTGTCGACATGTCAGTGCGCGCTGTTGAAATTGTGGACAACACGACTCCTGCGTCTCTCACCTTGGACATGTTTGATTTGGACACAATTCAAAGGTGAAAACTGGTCGTTTTGAAACTGCAAAATATAGGATCGTGCGTCACAAAAATTGTTAAATAACTCATTCTGAGCAGGCTCATTACTATTTCGCAATTCAATTCGAAGAATCTAGAAAATACTTATCCTTGGTTGACACAGGACTACCACAATAAATATATTATTGTGCGTGTCGTACTGTGCCTCCATCCCCAGGCTTGAGGTAACCCAAGACTAAATGGTGAATGTTGACAGCGTAAGCTTGCGAGTGTTGGAAACATCTTCGGCAGCGATAATCACTTTACAGCGAGAAAACTCGATTACTCCGCTCGTTTGCCCTCTTCTAAAAAAGAAAACACACTAAAGAAATATTGGAACGCGGTTCCTTAATATGCTTTCCGGGATGTTAAAAGAGCCACGTAAGAAAAAAAACGTTATGCATCCTACGTTCGACTCTCAAAGACACGTTCGCTCTGTCTTCCTAAAGCGTTAGCTGGCTGCATAAAGTGGGACGCAAACCGCTGTCAATTTATTTCATTTTGCCTATTATTTAATAAATAATGTACGTAATAAATAATATGGTTCCAAACGGATGTCCCTTTGCACCTCTCGTTAGTTTGTTTACTTTATTTACAGTTAATACTTGAAACGGGGTTTGAATCGAGACCACGGCCCACTGTGCCAATGGCCGCCTCAGATCTGGAAATTGTAAAGGCTTCTATCAGATTTCGTTCTCATATTACAATGCATAAAAGTGGTAGTTTACGTCATTGTATCCTTCCGCAGCTATCCTTGCATAGTTGGACCCTTGATAAAAACATCATGGATACTTTTAATTTAAAAAAAAAATGTTTATTTTTTATATTTAAATTACAAAAAAAACTATTACATCAATATCACTAGACAAAGAGGTCTACTTTAATAAAAATGGCTAAGCTAGCTTTAAGTTTAAAAAAAAAGCTAGCGGGCCGTAGCTGGTACTCGGAATATTCGCAATAGAGCCGAGGAATGGCGCGCTTTAGAAAGCGTTCTGTTCATCGCCGACGCGCGCGTCGCATGGCGCGGACGCGGCGTTCGCGTGCAAGTGTGCTCCCGCACGATCATCACCCACCAGCCGCACACGTCCGACGCAGAGGCGCTGCGCCTGTATGTGCGCAACCAAGCAGGTACATGCGCGCACAGAACACAGTTGTAGGCCACAAGCCTAATGCCGGCAGTGCTTCTGGTGTACTGTCGAACTCTGCGAAAGGAAATACCGTTTAATTAAACTACTTATTAATATTTATATGTTAATGAAACAGAATAACAACGTTTTTCGCAACTGTACAACATAAGACAAAGTGCATAGAATATAAGATGGCCATAATGACTCGTACTATACATTTATGCTCAAAATTGAAAGTGAGCTGATAGTAATACACAAATACCGGAATTTTGCAATTCACTTTTGACGGCTTCATATTCACACCCGAGTAGGTACGCTTATACTAGATGTTAAACAGTTAACATTTGCAGTACACCGCAATTCATCACGGACCTCTTATAGCATAACCTTATTATATCGATAGATAGGGATATGAGATAGTTATAGTTTTCTCAATTGTTCTAATGATATCCTAACCAAGAACTCATTGATGCACAATTCGGACGTTAAGTACTAGACCAATGTCCCTGTCTATGATCGGGTCGGAAGGTTCGTGGAACTAGACCAACGTCCCTGTCTATGATCGGGACGGAAGATTCGTGGAACTAGACCAACGTCCCTGTCTAAGATCGGGACGGAAGTTTCGTGGAACTAGACCAACGTCCCCTGTCTATGATCGGGTCGGAAGTTTCGTGGTACTAGACCAACGTCCCTGTCTATGATCGGGGCGAAAGTTTCGTGGAACTTTGCCAACGTCCCTATATATGATGGGGATGAAGGAAGTTTCTTGGGGGCCGTTTCTAGGCGGAGGGGAGGCGGCCGCGTGGGCGGCGTGGAGCGGTGAGCGCGCTTGCGCAGCCTCCGTGGCCCAAATACGCGACCGCCTCGCTGCCGGAGCCCCCTTCTGCGCCTCTCTCCACGCCCTGTTGACGCACCTCGACCTAGACGACCTTGTTTCGACCAGGTAATCGATCTGTCTAATTGCATTAACGTTCAGTTAGCGACAATGTTGCGACGGTTTCGTCACGCGGCAAAGTTTAAGCAAGCTTTGCAATAGGTGTAAGCGTTGTTAATGATTTGCATATTTTCGGAAAAATTACAAAAAATGTTTCTAAGATATGCGGAGCCCGCCAGTCCGTAGTGCGGTCGCGTGGTGGAGTATGTCCAAATGCTATATTATAGGATAGCAGTATTAGCCTTCGTCCAGTAGTGGGACATATATAGGCTGTTACTTTATGTTACTGATTTGATTCTTTTTTACTTAGGCTGGAATGGCTTTAACAAGGTAGGTACGGCCTATGTACAAATGCCCCTACAATTTAATTATTTTCTCTGCGATTACTTATATAACTCTTAATGTCTCTTAACCGTTTTGTAACTCTCTTTGAAGCAGACATTTCATTATTGATGAGTTAAAGAAAACGTTAAGTGTTGTGACATTAATTAGGTACTTGAAGTCAATAAGATAACTTGATACATGAATTTGAGAAGCAAAACTTCTGCGAGTCGAATCCTCGGAAAGAACGGACAGAAATCGTAAATGCTTTTATCAAGTTTCTTGTTTCATATTACAATATAAATAATTGATAGGTTTCTTCAACGTATCCTTCCGTAGCCATTTCGATATAGTTGGATTCTAAATAAAAATAACTAGGCTAGTTTTAGTTGAAAAAAAATACTGTTTTATTTTTTTAATGTTTAAATTACAAAAAATCAATTTCTAAACATTCCTAAGATCGATACAGATCGAAACAAAGCACGGTTCAGAGCCACCTGCATCCATTGTTATGCAAGTCGTTGTAGTATAAAAAATTTGTTAGCATAAAACTGTTTTAACCTTGATAGTAATTAAATTAATTACTATCAAGGTCAATTGAACTGGTTTAGTTGACCTTGATAATGCCGAAATAAGTTTACATAAACATACTTATAATAACTAGGGACGGCAATATAGATGAGTTGAGAGTTCGCTTTTCCGATCACACCGGGGAACTTACTGCACGCCTTCCAGTTAACATTTTGCAAGAAACACTGGGCTATACGGTAAGTATTCATAACATTTAATACGAAAACTTTTATATTATACACTAACTTATGCCTGTGATTTCGTCCCCGGGGATGTGGTAGCGAAATTAAAATGAAGATATAAATGTCATATGTTCTATAATAAAAATTTCATATATTAATAATTTCGATAGTGACGGTTAAACCACAATATATGATTATGATTCAGTCATGTGAGAAAGGCACGTGTGACTTGATCCGCGTGTTCTATTAAATGTTATTGCAACGAGTTGCGTAGTATGGTGAAATCGAAACAAAAATGTGCGTGCATGATAAAATTTCATTACCACTGACAAATTTAACTAGGATCTTGTTTCTTATTTGTTTTTAATTATAATAATGAGAGTGGAGATCTATTTTAGTGGCCTGTAACTGGACTTTAAAATAAAGATAGTTAATATAAAATTTCCGCAACGTAGAACACACCAAGATGGCTTTTCTGTACCATAAGTATGTTTAAAGTATGCAAGCTTGAGCATACGACTACTTCACTTCGTCAACTAGAGTTAACTCCGGGCCTTTTTCTTGCTACTATTAGCGACAATGTTCATACATCTGATGTTTATCCCATACATTTTATCCACACACTTTATCAGTTAAAAACCCATACGAGATACAATTCCTTGACCTATACACTCCAAAGATTAATTTTAATTAATTGTCATGTTAATGACGAGAGATTTGTTAAGAGTAAATTTGGCAACTGAAATAATTTAATTAGCCAGCCAGTCGAAAGGAGATTGACATGTCTGATGCTGCGAAAAGTAAAATAAGAGCCTATTCATATCCCGCTGTCGGGCAAAGGTCTCATTTTTACAGAGGGTTTCAAGGCATAGTCCACCACGCGGCTCCACTGCGGATTCACATATCTTCGAAATATTTTATTTTTTCATTATTTCCAAAATACGCAGGTTTCCTCACGATGTTTACCTTCCCCGATGTGCACGTGTTAACTCAGCACTTAAAATTAACAATTTTATGTGCTGAGTGTGCATCACGGCACTGCCAAAAGTGCGATTTAATATTCCTTAGGCGGAACAATTCAAGTCGATGTTGGCGGAGGACCGAGCGGCAATACGCTGGAGGCTATTGCTAGAGCAGTGCAGTGCAAAGTTGGCAGTCACACCACCGCGCATCATAGTTCTCTCCCTCCGGCGCGCGTCTCCGGCCGACCCTATTCCGTTATATTAACTTGAATACACCTTTTGTCAATTACAAGTCACTAGATAAACGTTTTTATTCTAAAAATCGATCTTTCGTTGTTTTCTTTAAACGGCAACCAACGCTTTATCATAGCGCCCTTATATACTGGATTCCGTAGAGTGTAATTGAAATAATTTAAAGGACATAAGAAAATAGGACTTACCATATATTTGTAGGGTAGAGGTGCGCAAGATTGCGTGGTGTATACGAAGATTACGCAGAGCGATCCCCAGGTTCAGGCTAGGCGCCCCGTGCGCCAGGCCACCTCAAGCCCGTCGAAACTGTGAAGGCCCCTAAGGCCAACAGTGGCGCATCCAGCCCAAAAAAAAAAAGCAGAGCGATTATGCAATTTGAAAAAAAAATTAACAGCCTACACGCATTCTAACTGCCGAAACAAAAATTTACGCTCAGTATAAAATTAACTTGAATTTTAGAGTATACATGAATATTTTCGTCTAAGCTTCCGTCTCTTTTCAAGAAATCACTTCTTTTCTTAAATAAATTCAACAAGTTAAATATATCAATTTAACAAATCCTGCCACATTTTGCAGGATAGCGAGAGGTGAGATTATTATTTACGCGACTACGTCTGCGTAGAATAGGCTGAAGGCGTAACATTCAGACAGATAAACATAAGACATGTATATAAATTATAGCCTGTCGTATTCTGATGTATAAGCTACATTAATGTAAAGTTTCATTAAAATCCATTCAGTAGTATTTGCGTGAAAGAGTAACAAACATCCATCCATAGATAGTAACTTCCGCCTTTATAATATTAGTAAGGATATCAACAAGGTAATCAGTTTACCTGAGCCAGTGTCACATTGGTACTAGTCAAAAGAGATGTTTTAAACCTCTGTTTTTCATCGTTTTAGAAGAAACAGAAAACTATGTAAAGATAATCTCTCCGACATAGAAATTAACTAACTTTTGGATTTGCAAGTATTACTTCCATAACCTCCATCTTCTGTTACCTTGCTATATATAGAGTTGTCGCCTTATCCAAAGTAATCTATCGCGCGACCCCATAGTATAAGAGAAGAAGGTCAGAAATTTTAAACAGTTCTCGTTTTTACAAAAATGTTTACCGTAAAAGAATAAGACTGTAAAGCCAAAGCCAGAAAATGCACTAAAAAGCAAATTTGTGCTTGAATTTGAGTTTATTAAACTAAAGAAACAAATAAACAACAAACAGAAACTAACTTAAGAAACATGTCGGTCTGAAGTGTACATTGGACAGTTTAAATAATACTGGATAGAATGCATTTCTTATAGACAATAAGAGTGATACGACAAATGCACAGCATATCTTCAACCAACGATAACTTCAAATGTGATATTTGTGAGTGAAGTACAGTCATTTCCTACCTGCGAAAACTTGCACGTCTGGCAGACTATGCAGACAAGATTGCACAAATCTTGTCTACATAGTCTGCGAGGGTGCGAATAGATTGCTGCAAATTATTTAAATTATATAGTTCAATATTTTAGTAGTGAAAAGGCGCAGCCCTCCTTACCTCTACCCTAATTCTGGTTGAAAGTAGGAGGTAATCAAACTTAAACAGCGATACAAAATAATACCTAAGCAGTTTCAATTGTTAGTAAATATTTAACACATTTTTCAAAATTATTTCGAAATTTAAAATCCGATAAGTAACTACATATGAGACTACCTACGATTGCTTACCCTAAAATTATTCCTACATTTTTAAAGTTGTTTTCGAAATTATGGCTATAAAATCGTATCAATATTTTTGGCTGTGGCTTACAGTTGCTAAGTTATATCATTATTGATTTAACGAGACCACAAGTATGGAGAGAGCAGAGAAAGTTGAAATAACATACGAATATACAAAACGAAGAAGGGAATTCGGCAAACAAACTCTATTCGAAGACCATGGGCCAGAATTGTGTATCAGTATTCCATCCAATCCATCTTATTATAAAAATTATATTCTCCGTAATCCCGTACACACTGCTGTTCAAAATTCTTCGACCATGTCCGAACATTGGGTTAACTCAGTGAGGTAAGAATTTAAATATCCTTTTCAATGCTACCATTAACATGAGAGAATAAGCGATGTGATAATATTGTTATGGATCCGACAAAGGATCTTGCAAATGGAGGTTTAATGTAAGGTGTAATGTAAGGTATGTACCTACCTATAAATTAAGTAGGTCGTATAGAGTGTGTATGCCCATCCAGCTGTGAGCTGATTTGTATTGGATGAAAATGCAACCAAAATTATTAATTTAATTGAATTGGTATGACTAAATACTCGATAAAATTATCTCTACGCAACAATCTTATCGAAACGTTATTTACCTTGCTTTGCTTGCAATATATTTCGGATCTCATTTTTTTAAATGTTAAAGTACTCAGCGCTCGATAACTAACGTACCAAGTCAATTTTCGAACTCCATTCATATCTTTTAAATTCGATTCATATGAATTTCTTACCATCGCAAATAGCATAGGACGTGAATGCGAGGAAAGTCGGAAAAGAAGTCCTAAAATGTTGAGTAACCTAAATACATGTACGGTTTGTATTTATTTTCATCTGTTCATATATCCTATTAGTCCATGCCATAAATAAAAGACATATCGACTTTATATACTAACTTAAATAAATACACTTGGCCTGACTGGAGGAAGATTGTAAATGTTAATAAGTTGGTAAACGGTCGTTTCAATTAAACTATATTATAATTTTTTAGAGCAGAATATACCAATTCTGGTATAAATCATATTGAAGGTGGATGGCCAAAAGACATTAACATGAGCGATCCAGAAGCGACGCAAAGGTATCGAAGGAAAATAGAAAAAGATGATGCTTACATCCATGCTGTAATGCATCTTGGCCACGTAAGTAGAAGTATAAAAGAAACAAAATTACATTCAAAGTTTATAAATTATTATAATTTTAAACATGTTTAAGAGTATGGAGCACAACATTCTGCAAAACAACGCTGTGGACATGTACCAAATATACTATTCGGAGCTTCCTGTTATACCGCCGGTGGAGAAAAGTAGTTGTCATACTGTGAATGTGTATCGGGAGCCCGGCGCTAGAAGGCCGGTCAGATCTTTATCGTGGCAGGCGGACGGCGGAGCTAGACTCGCAGCTGCGCATGCCGATGTCGATTTTATAAAGAACAGCAGAACGCTTCAGTTCTCTTACATTTGGGATATAGGTACCACACCACATTTCTATGTGACTACCACCATTAATTCTACGTGAAACAACTGATGCTTCAACTTCGCAGAGAGTAGACTCGTGCGATAGAAAAAAATGATATACAAAACAGAGATAGATGTCTCTGTTTGGTGGATTCTGAAATTTGTTGAATCTTAGATTTGTTTACACGTGATTGCATTTTTGCGTTACAATCTACCGAAAGTAAAAGTTTAATACTTTAGTAACGCACATTTCGACTTTCACAATTGAAATACACAACATAATGACAGTCAACATATTATTGACCTAGACCCATTGCAATCATTAAGAAGTTCATTCTGATCAATTCAGAGAGTATAACCATCCTTTTGGCAACTCAAATGACATTTGAAAAGACATTTGACGATGATCACTGTTTCAGAAATCGGGCGTTAGTGTGGCTTTCAATAGGGTGCAATTTTTAAAGTCTTTTCATTACACACAAACAAATTTCACTTCTTCATATAGTATTTTTATCAGATATTAGTATGGATATAGATAAAAATATTTCTTTTTATTCCAACAGAAAATGCCAACACGCCAGAGCTCACGATAAAGCCGCCTCAGCCATTATTAGACTTACAATATAATCCAAGAGATCAGCATACACTAGTAGGTGGTATGCTAAACGGACAGGTAATTTTGTAAACTAAAACGCAACGTTGTGAGTGCAAGTTAGGATCTTGGGATCCCGGAATACCTGGGACCTTACATCCCGGCCGTTTTTCGGCAAGATTTTTTCGCCACCCGGGATTAAAGTCAGGTCGGTCGATTATGTTGAATTAAAGACGAGTATCTGGAGACTGAGCTATCACGGCTCTAAATAGAAAGCCTAAAAAGTTAAAAAATTAATAAGGAAAATTTGCAGGTGGGTTGGTGGGATTCACGAAAAGGCGGCGATCCAGTTTGCATTTGTCCACCGCACGTGGCACATCGAGATCTCGTACGTAACGTCTTATTTATAAACTCGAAAACAGGGGCTGAGTTCTTCTCATCTTCTCCAGATGGTGTTGTGAAATGGTAACCTATATACTATATTTTGCCCACGTTACTGCCATATAATATATTACTTAATAATACTTAATACCTGAATAGTAGTAATTACCTTATAAACCATTAAAACCCACCCTTATAAACTTTAGCATTAAATTGTTTATTTGCGAATTTTAATCTTATTGATAAATCTCCACTTCAACAAATTCGATGAACGAATTTAATTCTAGTATTGTGCTATGGACTTTTTATGAATATTTAAATTACATTTCTTATTTGTGGCGTCGTCCATGTAGTTACAAAATAATTACACAATATGAAGTTTTATATACTGATTATGTGTTATGAAGTAAATTTGCAACTAATATGAACCAATGGAATAATCTGTTTCGATTTTTGGAAAGCAGTTATTATTACCATTTAACGAATTATCGTATTACTAAATAAATGTTTCTTTTTTTAAATTGCTGGGTCATGTACCTATATTTTTTGTTTAATCCAGGTGGGATACACGTAACATGAGCGAGCCTACAGATTCTATGATAATAGATCTCGTGAAATTACCGAATGATACTCAAACTATGGAGAATGCTTTAGGAATATCCGCACTTGAATACGAACCGACAATACCTACGAGGTAAAAGAAATCTATAAAAGTTTGCTATTAAAATTAGTTTCGTTATAAACTGGAATTACTCGTACGATACAATTGTTTTCGAAAGTACACATCTTTTGTTTGGAGGCATTATAGGACGGAAAATTTGTTAGGTACATATTTAACACAACCCCTATATGCCTATTTAATGTGGAATTCAGATTTATTTCAATATTAATAATAAAATCATGAAGTATCTCCTTATACAAGTTCATAATTATGTAGAATTCCTGAAGGATATAAAAATATTGATGTTTTTTTCGTTACAATCGAACAGATTCATGGTGGGAACAGAAACTGGCCTCGTGATAGGAGGCAATCGGAAAGGGAAAACACCATTAGAGAAGCTTCCTTCTAAAGTAAGTAAATTTCGGAATGGCTTTTATCGTCTTGCAAAAAAAATTTGAAATTTGTATGATTATAATCGACGATGTTACCTGCGATCTATATTTTGCTGGTTCGAATCCCAAAGCTCTTTACCTCTCGTGTTTAAAACTTACTAACATGTTTTAACAGTACGATGCGCATCTCGGGCCTGTGTACTCCCTTCAACGAAATCCGACCTTCTTGAAGAACTTCCTGACGGTAGGAGACTGGACGGCCCGCGTATGGAGCGAAGACTGCAGAGAATCGGCCATTTTGTGGACGTACTCGCATCGGACTAAGCTAACAGATGGCGCGTGGAATCCTATAAGGTTGGCCAACGTAAGATAGAATTATGAAGACAACAACATTAAACTTATTTTGATTTTTAACTAAATTAAAAAGGAAAGTCTTAAAAGTTAGTAAATTGGTCTTTTATACACGAAAGGGTACTTTGTGTAATGTAAATTGACTGAAACTACTCACAAGGTTCAGTCTATGGTGGGAAAAATGAATTAACCTTACCTATACTATATAAACGTAATAAATACAAATAAAAATAATTCCGTAATATACTTCCAGGTTCTCTTTGATACTCGTAACTCAGTGGGACGGGTGTCTCTCTTGTTGGGACCTTCTGCGAAGACGAAGCGCGCCTATAGTGACTGCGCAGCTATGCGATGAGCCCCTTTTAAGACTTCGACCGCATGAAGGAGTAAGCTAACAATCGAACATATTAACTTAGAACGATGCACTGTTATGTACAGCGTGTCTTTACAATCGCGACAATTAATGAACACACATATAGAGGATAACTTTTAAAATTGTATTAAACATTTACATTCTTTAAACAACTATATTTATTCTTCCAGTTATTAAATTGTCCAAAAGAGGCTTGTAATGCGACGCCGTGGCCACGAATGAAAGTCTCTGATTGTATGAATCAGTCAGTTGTAGTTGTATAGGATGTTACAAATTTTGTTTCTTTTTTACTTAATTAGTTTGTTTGAAAAAATGTTTTTTTAATTAAGGGTTTTTTTTTCAATATTTTTTTATGATTATTAGCAAGTAGCGTTAGAGGTGTGTTCATTTATTGTCGCGGTGGTAACGACACGCTGTATATATATACTAGCGGACCGGACAGACGTCCTGTACACACGACTTAAATCCGACAACAACTTATAAATAAAATAAAAAAGAACGAATTGTGAATCTAAGCCATTCTCGAATCGACCTGAAGACAGAAAAAAAATCATTAAAATCGTTTAGGAAGCGTTCAGTGACATATACACGTATACAGTAGAATATATGTAAAGATAATATTAGTCTATATTCAGCAGTGGGCCTGATGTTTCTCCAGGGATTGCTTGTGGCCTGCGGCAGCAGTAAAGGGACAATTTACTTGGCGGAACTGTCGCAAAACCTGGGAATGGCCGACAAAAATGACAAGCAACTTCTTACTCACGTAAGTCTGTATTACCGTTACTATAACCAATGTTTTTGCTTTCAGTCCGTAGACTATTATAGCTTCACCGCAACATTAAAGCGTTATCTTAAACGGGAGATATGCCACCTACGGGCCATCGAGGTTGGCCGTGATTTCAAGTCCGTATTTGATAAGGTCCTAGAAAATGCTTGAACCTTTTAAAGTGAACATTTTATTAAATAAGCCGTCTCTGTTAATTCAGTCCAGTTCTTTTCATTAAGTCAAATATACTAGAATTGAAGAGAACATCATGAACTTGTTTAAAACATTATTTCAAAGAGATATATGGCAAGAGATGTATGGGATGTTTTTTCGTATGGGAAACTGTTCACTACCTTACTAGGCCTGGTGTAATTTAAGATGGTGGAAGACACTAACTAGCTCAATAAAGCATATTCACTCTTACCTTTAAGACACTAACATTCTAACATTGTACGAGCGTGTAAACAAACTGGGGCAAAATTGTTCCACTTTTAAACACTTCTTATATTTGTTAACTCGGAACTCAGTCATTTTTTTTTGTATTTGATTCGGTTTAGCGCCTTTGTGGACCCATATTAATTTGTACCTAAGAATTGGCTTTTCGTCTATTTTGTGAGGACATAGTACTTTCTAGGTCGATGATACCGATACAAAAAAAAAGCCGAAGCTGTTGTCCGGCTCAGCCGTAGTAAAAAGCGGCTGCAACCGTTTTGCCGAGTTGCGACCGAAAAATTCTATTTAATACAAGCTTAAATAATAATTAATCTACGCTTAAACAGTTCCCTACTGTCCATTTACAAAATAACCGGTTGGGGTGTTCATTCCAGATTTTGGAGCGGGAAAATAAGCGCGAACGTATCCTGGAGGCGCGTCTGCGGGAGCTCAGGCTGAAGATGCGTCAGGACCGCGACTGTGGCCAAGCTCAAGTGGCCGAGAGCGACCCGACGTGCAACGACAAAGATCTAGAGGAGGCGACGGCCGAGTACAATCAAATCGTCAACGATCTGATGGCGCAGCAAAGGAAAAACTAAAACGACGACAAGAACACAACGATATTAGAGAATGGATTTTCTGACTTAAATATTTACAAAAAAAAGAAAAAAAATGTTATATAACTTATATATCATCTTTTCATTTATCACAAAAAAATTCAATTACCTTCAATCGGTATAGACAATCAATAACTATGACCCATAGTTTCTATCACATTCATCGAAAAAGATCTGTTTTATGATAGTAGGTAATAAAATTATAAATAAAAAACGGTGCATTGGGACAAAAACTTTATGACATCTATATTACAATAATTACACTAAAACAACAATTATACTAAAACAACAAACTATGACTATGTTACACAAATTTCGAATAGTTTTGTTACGCCTCGTTATTGACGTCTGCACTAATAAACTACCTTTCACTGACACTTCAGAAATTTCATCAATACACTTAGAGGTTTCCAAAGAAGTAGGTCACCGAAATGTGAAAACTGAACGAGACCGTTATAATCTTTTATGGACTAGTTTATGAAACAGTTTATCATTCGACTGGTTCACGTTTGTGCAAACAGTAGTCACTAGCGATGCAGTGATTAGCTTATACGTTTGCACGTTCGTCAATCACGTCGACAAAACAGTAGAACAAACATAAAACAGCGCCATCTATACGCGTATACAGAATACACTGTAACACTCCATCTAACCGCGGACCGTGACAGATCGCGTCGGGCGACAGTTCCAAAAACGTCACGCGTCGGGCAACCGTTTGCAGAAACGGCTCGTTACTCAAACGGGCTAAGTTTCATTAGATCGCGTCGGGCGACCGTTTGCAGAGAGGGCCGGCCGCGGCCGCTACGTGCGCGGCCCGAGCGCCACGAAGGACCAGCGGCTCTCGATGTTGGCGCCCACGCCGCTGGTGGTGCGCTGGAACACGTCCCCGTGCTTCTGCAGCACGCGGTGCACCGTCGCCTGCGACACGTGCGGGAACAGAGCGCGCACGTACGACACCACGTAGTCGAGGCTCGCGCCTTGCGGGTGCACCTGAGGGGGGGGGGGGGGGGAGGGGGCGGTTCGCAGCCGAAATTCGCTCGCCCGCGTTGTGCGCATGCGACAACTTAACAATAAAATGGATAGTCCTAACCTGTTGAGTGAATTTAGATACGATGTACCATATACATAGGTTACTTACGACCCAAATCCAACCTATAGTCCCACCTTTACGCACAACAGTATAGGGCTCAAGCTCGTTTGTCCCCAGTGCGAGCCTACTTCTGAATAATTGTGTAAAATCAACTGATATTTTTAATTTTAGTCTCAATACCTTTCGTTAGCACTTGCAAAAAAACCATTGTCGATGAGTAGATTAGTGGTATAGCATTTATATTTTTAAGTCGCAAATTTTCTTAAATATTTTTTACTACCTTTTTTTATATTGTATTCTGTGCAAATTTCTTTATATTTCAATATATTGTATACTACTTCTATTTAATACTAGCGACCCGTCCGGCCTCGCACGGGTGCAACGTATTATACATATAAACCTTCCTCTTGAACTGTATCTAGTAAAAAAAGCCGCATCAAGATCCGTTGCGTAGTTTTAGAGATCTAAGCATACATACAAGGGACAGACAGACAGCAGGATGACTCACAGCAAAGAGCCGTTTATATTTCAAGTGACATTTTACCACAGTCACACATTTGTTTTACCTTCCCGGAACCCCTCTACAAGCACTTAAGCTTTATGGTATTGTATTAAATTTTAAATTGACTTTTAAGTATTATTGCGAATCTTTTGTACGGGAATATAGAAAAGTATTGTTTTTGGACTTTTTCAGGCAATTTTTTTAATTTTTCTCTCCGTAAGATTCATCCTTGTACTTAAAGGAATATTATAAAAAAAATAATTAGCAAAATCGGTTCAGAGATTTACGCTTAGCGACACATTCAGCGATTCGTTTTTATTTATATATACATGTAACAATTGCTGGTAAACCAAATAAATTAAAAAAACACAGTTCATCATGCAACCTTTTTTTAAGTGGTACCGGTTGGAATCGAACGGTCCTATAAACCATAATAATTACAAACTAATCTGAATCTTAAACGTTGTGCGGCCAAAGATAGTTTCGTTTTGGTCCTGAGAGAGTTCTTCAAGAGTTATACTCTCGAAATGCCATACAAGTTTCCGTAACACCTCGTATGTAGACATCGGCAGTGCAGTGCACAGAGATTTCTGACAAGGTATGCTTAATAAAAACTACTTGATTGATCACAGATCACTTAAATGATATCCAAGGTGGTATTTGAAAAGGCTGTCAAATGTTATGTTTACTATAACTCATGGTTTTCTCAGTATTCGTTTGCAGAGCCCTTCTGCATGTATGAAAAGGGCGCGCATGAACATCTTTACTTTTCTTTTAAACACTATCATGTTTTGTAAGGACGTTTTACAAAACAAACTTTACATGAAAAAACAATCTGTGGTTCACACAAACAGTTGTCCCGTGTGGGCATCGAACCCTAGACCTCGGGCGTCAGGGAATTGAACCCCATGTCATTATCTCAGGGGGCACCTTCCTCGCGGGAAATGAGGCCTAATATCGGCTCTGACAGTATATCGCCCTTGATGTTGGCATGAGCAGATCCCGCGACTCCTTCTATGCGACTATTATGTATGACTAGTCACACAGTTTGGAGCGTATACCCAAGGCGGCGACGTACTGCAGCTGGCGAAAAGGCTCTGCTAATACAAGCCTCGGGAAACCGCCCCACTGATGCCCGGTTTCTATATTCAACGAACGGCCATTAGTTACATAACTTCGTAACTTTCATAACGACTCGTTGTAACGACTTCATAACGACAATGCAACTAACGGCCGTTCGTTGAATATCAACCGAGCTTTAGTCGCCACCATCGTTGTGGCGTTACCTGCAAGAACGCCGACATGACGCCGATGAGCTTCGCCTCGCCGCAGCCGGCCTCCACGGTCTCCCTTAGGTGCACCTTCGCGTCCAGGTCTTCGGGCAGGGGAGGCGGCGGCGGCGGCTTCACCACGGGAGAGGGCAGCGGCGGCTGCAATGCGTCAACATCGCCGTTGCCGACAGCCGTTTCGTTTTGTTTGTGCACAACCCTTTTGACCGCTTTTTTTTTCTATCGATAAAAGGGGCAAACGAGCAGGAGGCTCAAGCATCGGCTCGCCTGATGGTAAGCGATCACCGCCGCCCATGAACATCTGCAACACCGGAGCGCTTGCAAACGCGTTGCCGGCCCTTAAGGAAAGATTATGTATGCTCTCTTCTTGAAGTTTCGCAGGTCGTAACGGTCCAAAAAGATCGCAGGCGGTCAGCTGGGTCCACTGAGTGTTTATGCGAGAGAGTGCCTTGAAAATCGCGCTTTTGTGGAACGCTGGTCATCGAGGTGGTGTGGAAGATGGAAGGGTTTGGCCACCTAATTATGGTAAAGCCGCGCAACAGTCTTCGCTGTTGCATGAATGCGCAGCTCCGTGCGGGGAAGTACCGCAACCACGCAGAACACCGACGTGAAAGTATTATACTTCCGCGTTTCGTCTGGTGAACGAGGAAGCGCCCACTTTATTAAAAGTCGGCAACGCATCTGAAACCCTACGGGTGTTGCAAATGTCCATGTGTGGTTGTTATCACTTAACATCAGGTGAGAAAAGAAAAGCAGTTTGAAAAATAAACTCTATAAAATAGCTACTGAAAATTTCACAGATTATACTCGGCAGTGAGGGAATTTAGAATATTTCTCATGATAAACATACCTCTTTGGTGTCTATGGCACTTTGCAACGCCTGCCTTGCGATAAACTGCGCTTTGAATTTTTCCATCTCTTTTTGCGCCTCGTTCTTTATAACGTCTACCTCATTTTTATATGCCTCGAGTTGAAATTGAAGACTCTCATTTTCTCTCTGAAGAAATCAAGGTAAACACTAAATTTAATTCTCTAGTTAGCCGACTTCATAATCCATTTGTTCATTTAGTATGGGCTTCTTGTAGATCAAAATAAATAAGAGTTGCATCCGGGCTAATGATATTTATGTTTAACAGAGCTTTCTTATTACGTTTTTAAACTTTAAAAAAAATATTTTTAATTATGTCAATTAATATTTTTATTGGAATCCTATATACAGCGTGTCGTTACCATCGCGACAATAAATGAACACACATATAGAGGATAAGTTTTTAAAGTTGTATTAAACATTTAAATTCTTTACACATCAATATTTACAGAGTTATTAAATTTTCCAAAACAAAGAATTTTAGAACACCCTTACCTATAAAAGCGTAACGTAAAGTTCATTTGTAAAGGTCACAAAGCATATGAATGGGTTGAATGAATTTAAAAGAGACAAAACATACTGTTAGAAGGAGAGGCTTGTAATATGACGCGCACAAATTTTGTTTCTTTTTTACTTAATTAGTTTGAAAAATATTTTTTTTTAATTATGGATTTTATTTAACGTCATTTTTTTTTATGATTATTGGCACGTAGCGTTAGACGTGTGTTCATTTATTGTCGCGATGGTAACGACACGCTGTATATTTTCTATTACATACATTTTATGATATAAGCACAGTTTCTCTTACAAATTTTACTCTATAATTTTGTTACCTTTAACAGTTGGACTTCTTCATTGTTGTAGTCAGTTCCTTTATTGATACGCATGCAGTTGTAATCCATTTCATCATTTTGGAATTTCTCATAAAACTCTTCCTTTAAGTTATTGTAGTCCTAAAATGTGTAATGAAAATGTATTAAGTGCCACAGGCCAACATTGACGGAGCAATTACTGCTCAAATGGTCGGAATCTAAAATTATTCAAATTTAAAATGTTATCAATAACATTACTTCTCTCAATACATACTGCTTCACAAATTTTATGCTCATAAATATTAAAAATTAGCATGGTAATAAATGTTAATATTTAATTAAAAATAATTTCATCTCAATGTGCACATTATAAGAAATGACAAAAATATTTGAAGATTATTGAATAAAATTATTTTCTAACACGACAAACAATCATAAAATAATTTTATTCAACAATGTGTCTTCATGTAAATGCAAGAGGTCATTAATTAACATTATTATTTTGAAGACAATGTCAAGTTTTCATATTTTAAGCTTATAAACTATAAATACTGAACGTCATACCTGGAATGGTCCAACATACCATTATTACCTGCTATTGGCGTGTTCAGGATCTCCCCACCAATCAAGCTGCATTAAATCTAGTGTACTTACTTTACTTTCATTACAACTTCACATCTATTATATGAAATAAACTTACCGAAAATGGACGAAATGTAAATAATAACACAAAGTAATGGCTATAATAAGATGACTCGCAACATTTTGTAATTAACGCAAACTTAAACCCCAAAAAATATTATTATTTTAAATCAACAACTCATTGTGAAGTTTTAATGATTTAGAGGATGATAGTTACGAACAACAGCTTCTGTTAAGTTAAATTATTAAACTGTTCTAATTCCTTGTTGTTAGAGATGTATATACATTTCTTTGCACGTAAGTTTTAAAATATAACTTTCTTATGAAATGCATCTAACTCAGGAAAACTTATGAATAACCAATATTTGTTTAAAAAAAAACCAAACAATTCATAATGAACATTAGAAAGGAAAAACATTAAGAAAAGACGGACAACTTATTCTTTAATGAACGGTACTTCAAAAGTAAAGATGTTCACTGTGCTCATGCGATGCAAACTGCATGCAAGGTCTATCCTATGACATTGACTAAACAAAAATAACTCCGTCTTGAACATACAATAGATCTGCACTTAAAGTTTAACGAGAGGTTTCGGGAGACGAAATGAAAAGTCAGCTCGTAGGGAAGCAATAGTTCGCTGCGGGTGATCGAAGGGATGTTACCCACCTGTGCCATTTTTTGCCAAGTCTCGATGTTTTTCCTCTGCGGCTTTGTAAAGTGGTCCCACACGCGCTGATGGGTAGCGGCTGTAAACACTTTCGCCACCTGTTCGACTGAGGTTCAAATCATGTTAAGGACATGGAACGTGGCCGTTCGACCTCACGTACCCTCAACCTGGTGCAGCCACCGACAGCCTCCTGCGTCCACCTCACTGACCGACCTTCTCTGTGCCGCCCAGCCGTGGGCGTGACGAGTTTGTCGCGATAAGCTAGCCGCGCACAAGCCCGCCCCTTGGGACGACTTACGATATCATATTCGCGAAACTCCTCGGCGTATACTATACTCACGAACGTTCAGAAACGATAAATAAAGTCGAGAAGTTGCGGAATATGTGTACGTTTGTCCGAGCTTAAACTTACACTTTTCCAACGGCCTCACTGAACGGCATTGACCTCGCAATCGGCGTAGACTGTACCGCCTAGGCGTGGGGGTGACGAGTTTGTGGCGACGACTTTGTCGTGACTTGTCGCCAGCGTACAAACTCGCCCCGCAGAGCGGAGGGATGACTTTAACGCTTTGACATCATACACGATTCGCGGAACCCTCGGCGCATCGTCAATACCGTTTGAGAACGAAAAAACTAAGCGAGAGGTAACGGAATGTGTGTATGTTTGTCAGAGCATTAGACTTACACTTTCCGTGCCAATCAGTGGCTGATTCGCAATACGTATACACTTGAAGACTGCATTCGGCTATGTCCGCCTGGGTTCGCTTTGCTGATAGGGGGGACCATAGAGCCAAGACAAACCGATAACTGTTAGATTATCTTGAGAGAGAGACACCTGGTTGAAAAGGATGACGATCGGTTCAAAAACTTGCATCGAATCAATTGGAAAGCTATAGTAAGATACAAAACGTATTGCCAAAACGGATCGTCACCCTTGCAAACTCGAGGACGGAACTCTTGTGAATCTCGGAGCCGAGTGTACTCACGTTGTTCGATGATGTTCTGAATGGTGCTCTTCACTTTTTCCTTGCATTGTTGCAGCTCGTCATCGGCTTGAACCTTTTCGTTGAACAGCCTTCGTGTGTGCGTGTTGGTCGCCTGGATCATCGAATAGAAGTGGTTCGAATACTTCTTCGAGCACTCGCCGCGTTCCAACCAAGCTATCAGTGTCTGCGGAATGAATTTGAAAAAATATGAATCAACTATCCTTTTCTGCTATACAAACGAACGAAAGAAAACTTGTTCATTGGATTAGATGTGATAAAATACCACGAAAATGAATATAAAACTGTGTCTAAGAATCTGTGGCGAAGTTAGTGAACTGTTAGTTAAGGATTCTTTTCCTTAACGGGACAAGTACTTTAATCGTAATAAACAGATATAAGTGAGGCACAAACAATAGTGGTAATTAGTTGGTTACAAAGTACCTTGGTAAGCCAAGATATTCTGATATGAGAAGCAAGAGACTTACTGGAAGCGACAGTGCGAAATTCTCCTCGCTCTTTATCTTTTCTGCTAACTGAGCCAGGGTCGCATTAGTGAACTGCTGGATTCTGACGGGCGAGGGGGATCGCCTGTAAATTATCTTCCGTCCAACCTCCTGTGGGACATTGATCGCCTGCACTTGAGCATGCTGAGAGCGCAGGGCTTGGCGCTGTCGCCTGTCGTATTCGTTTTGGTCGTCTCGGCTCTGCGGTGGTACGGTAAATATTTAACATTACCATCCTTACTAATATTATAAAGGCGAAAGTTTGTATGTATGGATGGATGTTTATTACTCTTTTACGCAAATACTACTGAATGGATTTTAATGAAACTTTACAATTATATAGCTTATACATCAGAATATCACATAGGCTATATTTTATGTATATCTGTCTTTCTGTCTTAATGTTAGACCTTCAGCCTATTCTACGCAGACGTAGTCGCGGGCAGCAGCTAGTTTTAAATATTTAATATTTAACACTTCTGATAAATTATCATACCAAAGCGTAGTCGACGTGCAGCCAGCCATTGGTCGCGTGCGAGTCGTCCTCGTCATTGTCCATGTCTTTGTCTTCCTTGTCGCGGATGGTGAGTTTGACTTTGTAGCCCGTTATAGCCATCGCGGCGTCCGCACAGCTCTCCCTGTCGAAGCGGATGTGGCAAAAGTTCTTCTTTGACAGCCTCAGGATCTGAATCCTTCCGTACCGCTCGAATATATCGCGCACTATGCCCTCGCGCATTTTGTCCGGCAGCCCGCCCACGAAGATAGTTCGGCAGCCGGGCGGCCGTTCCCTGCGCGGCGGCTTCGGCGTCCCGGGATCGGGGGGGGTCAGCTTACAGTGTTTCAGCAATATCTCCTTTTTCTCCTGCACCATTTCCGTGCTCGCATTGGAATACATCGCCACCATGGGATGGTCCATCATCACGCCGCCCATGACGCCCATGTCCATAGGAGGGGCACCCGCCGCCCCTAACGATGGAGCTCCAATCATCGAAATGTCCATGGATGCCGGAGGTATTATTTCCATTCCAGATCTAGGCATCATCTCCATTGTTGTAGGTTGCATCATTGATCCAGTCATGAGTGTATTTGGCATCATGACATTACCAAACATTCCACTGGCCACAAGCATGTTGCCTAAAATTGTTTGAAGTATTTTAATGTTGACATTTGATGTTGATGAGATTTGATTTTTTTATAGTAATTCCCCTATCTTCTAGCAAACCAATATTTAATGACAATTATAGTGAAAAATGCCATTAACATAAATGACTCCATCTTATTAATAATTAGATCTGCTGAGTACATTCCTTTTGACTTCTTTATACCAGTGCAGAATTAAGCAAGCTTGGTTCCTGTAGCAAATTCTTTCAAACAGCCCTTGCTAAACAGTCTCTGCTATGGGTTCTTAAGTATAAATTGGTAAAAAAATCAAGGCTCTTACATACTTAATAAGTTTCACTGAAGAAATTATGCTCAGACAGAGAACAGTAGATTTAAATGTGAGGTCCGTTTCGCATGGGGCCCGTAGCAATTGCTACTCTTGCTATGGGGTTAATACAGCATTGCTTAAGACTTACTTTCAAATTGTACAAGGGACACAAACTTGATGTACATAGTTTAAGATAGATGAACTGATAGTAGTTTTATACAGGTGCATATACATCTTGAGATAATTTCAATTAACGTTACTAATGATAAAAATCACATACCCTGTGTATACATATTTGGCATCAACATCTGATTCATTACATTTGACATTTCACTGTTCTTATTCAAATCTTGAATTTTATCTCTTTGACGGCCAGAGTTATCTCCTCTTATAGGAGACCGAGATGTATCTCTTCTAATTCCTACAAAAATATTATTTACCTAATGTAATAGAAACACAACATATTATTTCATGAAACTTTTTTTTTCAGATTATTAATACACATAAATTAAGGTAATAAATATTTTTTATAGAGATGAAGGAACATAGGTCAACACTGCAATAGCAATAAGATATGTATTGAAAATTGAAAATAAAGAAGAGAAAATTTATAGTTACCTGACATTACCAAATTATACAGTAATTGAATTTACTACTTATTAATTAAAATAATAAAAATATAACTTATGTGTAACAAATCAAATAAAGAAAAACTTATAAAATCTTGAAGGATTTTGATTTTGCTGTAGAAAACTAAAATTTTCGAGCCTTAAAAAATTTAATGTATCTGCTTACTGCACCAATCATTACTTCCTAAGTCGAAAATTAATAATTTTATATCATAATCAATCTAAATTGAATTCGTATTTATTAAATGAACCGTAATCAGTGATAATTATATTCTAATCATTAATATAATAATATTTTCTTAATACGTATGGATAGAATAATGGAGTGGAACACGACACAATTACAAAACTGTCAATGTCAATTTGTCAATTGTCAATGAAAATTTGTCATGTCAAGTCAATTCGTCATTACACTCGCAGGACGCAGAGTACTCTATACTTCTATCTATACTTCTACCTGCCCAGAATTGGATTTAATTTATAGCTCTTTTCGTCTATTAGGTCCAGTAACAGTCTTTAAAGTACACATTCACGTCACTCTATCAAGTCAAAAGGCAAAGTCTCAACATAAGTAACAAAACAAGCCCAAACTCGACACACAGCTCTTCTCGTCTATTAGTTCCAGAAGTAGTTCTCGAAGTACAAAGTTAGGTCACTCCATCAATTCCGTAACGAATTATGAATTTGCAATCCTCTCTCTGCTCTCTTTTCGAGGAGTTCGTGCGCAAGGTATGCCCCTCTATGTGGGAACGTTATCTTGCCTATGATCGGCTGCACTTTCAAGGAGAAGACATTGTTCAAGGTAATCTCTCTCGACATCGAGTCGATAGAGACAAACCAAGAACTAGATTCAGATCACAGGTCCATTCTGTGTAAACTGGACCAGAACGCCGGCGCGGTCCCTTCAACCAAAACCGTAGTGGACTGGCATCGTCTTGAGGTCAAACTCAAGGCCTTAGAATCCCAGGACATAGTCAGTCAACCTACCCGAGTCGATAGCTACGTTCGATGACGCAAATCGAGCGATAGAAAGTCTCTGAGAAACTATTACTTCCGCAGTCGCAGATTCGGAAAGTGTGGTGAAACTGTTGGGCGACCGGCGGTTTAACTTTCCGCCCGACCTTCGACTGCTAATTAGACAAAAAAAGCAGCCGAACGTGCTTTCTACCGATACCGATCAACAAGCCCTAGTTATCGGTAGCCTTATGCCGGTTGAATAATTCGGCTTTCGAACTAGACATTCCTGTCACGATCAGCTATACCGCCTAACGGAACATATCTTGAAAGCAAGCAAGCATATACACCCGAAACACATTAGCACGGGAGCTCTTTTCTTCGATGTCGCAAAGGCATTCGACAAAGCCTGGCACAACGGCTTGATTTACAAGCTGTTCGCACTCAAATTACCAGACAGGCTCGTACACACCATTCGGGACTTCCTGTCGAAACGCTCCTTTCATATCGAGTTGAGAGCGCCCTCTCCAGAAGCCAACGCCTCACGGTTGGCGTTCCAAAAGGCTCCTGCCTCTCACCCCCTACTTTTTACGCTCTACACGAGCGATATACCAAAAGACCTCCACGTCAATCTCGCGCTTTTCGCGGATGGCCCTCTTTTACACAAATAAATCTTAATCGACTCACTACTCGTCTCCAAAGCGCCGCCGACCGCCTCGGCGATTAGTTCCGCAAATGGAGAATTGAAGTCAATCCCGAAAAGAGTGTGGCGATTCACTTCACACGAAACACCTATGCGTAACATCTTTATAAAGGTCGTCGCCAATGCAGAAAGCTGGGGCAAATATCTCTTTATGGCCAATCGCTCCCCTGGGAGATAAAGGTCAAATATTTAGGAGTCAGTTTCGCGTATGTCATTCACAACGCATATTAATAACGTCCGTAACAGAGCCGCGTTCGTCTCCAGCTGGATAAGTATTTTAACTTTTAACCAGTCAAGTAAAATGTCCTTAAGACATAAATTACTTTTATACAAAGCTTGCGTACGGCCAATCATGACTTAAGCATGCATGATTTTAACCCACACGCACCCTACTCGCTTACACAAGTTACAAGTGGTGCAACATAAGTTCATCCGCTGCGCAACCGGTGCGCAGTGGTATTAACGCAACGTCGACCTGCACAGCGATTACAGACTCCCGAAGATTTGCGAATTTTTCAAAGACCCGACCAAACGGTTTCGAAGAACCGTTTGGTCAGGTCTTTGAAAAATTAGAGCCGAACATCATCCCAACCCTCTGGCGCAGCAAATTACCAACCCGATCCAAACGCGAACGTCAACAAGCGTCACCCGCAAAACGTCCTTATCGACCCGGTCGAGCAAGGAGACTTAGGTACGTCGGACCCACCGTCGGGGATCCCGCCGGATCACACACGGTTAGTGTTTGCTACACTAAAAACACATTAATTCGCTCTCGCCTCCGAGCACGGTGAGACCAACACAACGCGTACACATGGTACACTCGCGTTCCAGGGCGGTTCTCACCGCCCCCATATAGGGTTCTGGCTAGCCCACCAGTTCTGCGTCAGATGAAGTTTTAATAGTCTCGGGACTGAAAGCACAAAGAAATAGACAAGAAATTCGATAGTGCCGAATAAATATCGATATATCGTGATAAATATCCACGGTATACATAGTTGTATGGAAAAAGAATATAGATTTTTTATTTTATCGATAATTTTTGCCTTGCTAATTGATTTAGGTCACAGAGTACATTACTTATACTGATTAAGGTTGAGGTTTGCAGAATGCAGAGAGAATATAGTAATAATCACTATATAAATATATATAATAATAATCACTACCATGCAGTATCATCTTAGTAGTCTGTGATCACTACGTCTAATATTTATACTAGGGATGGAGTAAGGACAGGCGTCAGGCAGGGCACAAAAAAAAAAAATTATATGTATGTATTAAAGTCGTCATAGACTAAAGTAATACTACTGAAATTGCTGAATAAACTAACGTACAGTGGTACAGAGTGGTACTTTACTTTTTGATATCATCTTAGTAGTCTGTGGTACAGCAGAGTAGTCTTTGGTTAAGGTCAAGGTAAACGTAGTGGTTATATTCTCTTTGGTTAAGGTTTGAGGTTAAGCTGGAAATTATTGAAAGAGATGTTTTAAAATGAAAAATTTATAATGTTTGTTTTATCGGAAATGAAAGATGTTATTCGAGTTACTCCAGAACATTTCCATCAAAGTTTAGCTGAATCTATAACAACGTTACTTAATAGAAAACTTGCTAATAGGGTAAGCCTTTTATATATTCATTTATAATTCCCATGCATCTTGTTTCGATCGAAATATTTTGTATTAATAATATGGACTCCGTTTCTATTAAGCAAATTACAGATATAATATTAATTATTGTATTATTAGTTTCTAAGTTTAAAAAAAATAACTAAGAATTCCGTAATATAAAGTACCTGAAGATATTCAAAACAAATTGAGCAATAGTTAGGTACAATATAAAATAAATAATATTACAAGTATGTATACAAGTATTAATGACTACCTGCTGATCATCATTGCTTATAATAGGATTTTTATCTATGTTTATAGAAGTTGTAATTATGTTAAATGTATGAGACCAACAATACATTATTAGTGGGATAATGAATATATTATCAAAGCACTGAAATAAATTGAAGTATTAAAAATATATCAATATTAATAGTGTAGTAGTTAAAAGTAATGCATATTTAACAAAAGAATAAAATATTTTTAGGTAGTTTTGAATGTTGGTTTATGTATAGCACTTTTTGATATTACGAATATTGGACATTCATATATATTTCCCGGAGATGGTTCATCACATACTGAAGTCAAGTTTCGCTACATTGTTTTTCGGCCTATTGTTGAAGAAATACTTATAGGTAAAATAAGAAGTTGTAGTAGAGAAGGTGTGCATGGTAAGGGCAGCAATTGATACTACTTTATAGTGATGAAGCTTTATTAAGCAGATAACTAAATACAATAGCAAAATATAACATTTAAGTATAAAGATGATAAAATATTCTCACAAGAATTTCTTTTTATCATAATTCTTATTTAATAAAAACCCAATTAATTTATAGCATCTAAAGTTATTTTATTAATTATAATTGTCATTTTTTCTCTTTCAGTGACCATAGGTTTCTTTGATGATATTTTAATACCAGTGAATGCCTTGCAACATCCATCAAGATTTGATGAGACAGACCAAGCATGGGTGTGGGAATATCCCAAAGGAGATGGTGAAAAACATGACTTATTCATGGATTCAGGTATGATTTCCAATATCGTGGCACAAACTTCTTTTAATGTAATTAATTACTAATTTATTTGTATAAATTAAAGTCTTATATGATTGTATATGATTTTAGGAGAGTCTATAAGATTCCGAGTGACAAGTGAAACATTTGAAGAGAGTTTGCCTACAGGTCCTCCAGGTACTGAAATTCCAGTTAAAACAATTGCTCCATACAGACTAACAGGTGGAATAAATGAACCAGGGCTTGGTCTATTAACATGGTGGGAAACACAGGAGCAAGATGATGAGGGGGAGGATGATGATGAACAGGAAAATGATGAATAGGAAAATGATGAATAAATCTAATAAAACAACTTTTTTGACACTGAAAATGTTTTTATTTGGTGCTCTGGAGTTATGACATAAAATAATTTGAATTTTGTTTTAGTACTTGATTATGATTAGTGTTGTTAGGTTTAAGGGCCACCTGTTGCAATAAAAGCCCCAAAAATTGTTCTGGGTGGCACTATTGTTTGCCCATCTGTGCAGTAAATTTCTGGTAATTTGTATGATGTCAACACTCCATTTTTTTAAATGGTGGTAAAGTGGTGTCCGACTTGCACTTCGAAGATTTTTTAAACTTCATATACACTTGCATCATCATTTTACAGACCATAATATACCGGATGTCCCAGAATTCAATGTCAAGCCAAAATGGGGTGACAGGATTGATTGTAACCATCATGAGAAAAATCAGAAAAAATGTCTATCCCATGCAGTTTGGAAATTATGGACATTTAAGAAAAACTTAGAAATTTGGTCAAACTGTAACCATTTTCTGGTTATTGTGGTTATTTTTTATTATTATCGTTCATTTAAACTTTGGAACCGTAACCCTAAATAACATTTCTACATTCACATTCATTTCACAGTCAAAAATAATGACTCAACTGCCCCAAGTTTTCAAGAATTAAGACTATTTGTTAAACTATGAATTTAAAATATTCAAATTTTGTCGACTTTGAAAAGCCCTCCTTTAAAATAAATGTACTAAAGTGCCATTAAAAGTTCGCGCATTTAATCAGGATTGTAAAATGGTACCATACTTTTTAGTTTCATCCTAAAAAAAAAAGCTATTAAAAAAATAAAAACCTGTTTTACCACTTGTATAATATATCATTGTCCATTATTACCATATTTATAAAAAGCTGTCGTCGATGAACAATTTTTGTACTTTTTTTCGATACCTCGCTTTCTCAGTCACTGCACATTGCACTCAATAAAGTAGAATAATAGTTAATAGAGTTCGTAATTGTCTAATAGTACAATTAATTTATTCATACGGCCGTTCCATTCTTATTCAAAATTCAAAGTAATAAATAACAATTTTCTGCGAGTTATTGAGTAAAATAATTTATTTTTTAAGCAATAATTATGAAAATTATAGTATACTATAATTTTTTTGTCAAATACTATCCCATTAAATTTTAGTACAAAAAAATCTTTTTTACTGCAACTAAATTCAACCCTGGACATGCTTCTGACACCAGTTAATACACATACACTACGTTTCGCAAAGAGAATTTATCCACTACACACCTTTCGCTCATTTGTCTACTGCGCACCTGTCCGTTCGCTTGTTTTTTTTTTATTATTTATTACTGACAACTTTGGCTCTTTTGGAATTGGACTTTTGTGTTGGCATCCTTGTTATCAACCATGCCTACGCGCTACACTTCACAAGAATATGCGAACATGCACCTCATCTATGAGGAATGCAGATGCAACGCAAGTACCGCCGCTAGACTTTATCGTGAAAGATATCCAAATTTAGAGCGCTATTCGGATCACCGCGTGTTTGTTAATGTGCATCGTTCACTCACGGAGGGCGGCCATTTCCCGAATCAAATACGGACTGGAGGTAGAGCTCGCTTTCCTAACGAGGAAGAAGTGTTACAAAAGGTCGCAGATGACCCAAGTATTTCCGTTCGTGGAATTGAAGAAAGAACGGGAATACCCTAAAACACTACACATCGTATTTTACAAAGAGCCGAAATGCAATCGTTTCGTGTACAACGAGTTCGAAAGTCTCCTTCCTCGAGATTATCCTGAAAGCATTTCAATGCTACCCAACAAAACAATGCTACAGAGTCATAATGAAATCCCCAATTCATCCAAAAAATTCTCTGATCAGAAGAATCTACATTTAAAAAAGATGGTTACATAAACTTACACAATTTTCACAAGTGGCATGTGGCGAATCCACTTTTAATGCGAGAAGACAGTTCCCAGTATCTCTTTAAAGTAAACTTTTACCGGAATTTTAAACGGCAAAATTGTTGGGCCATTTGGGCTGCCTGAGAACTTGAATGGCACGAATTTACGAGAAAAAGGACGTACCACTAACCGACCGTCGCCACATGTTGTCTCAACAAGATGGCTGTTGGCTGCCCAGTGCATTACGCAGTGCAAGTAAAAGATTTCATTGACCAGGAATATCCGGGCGGGTGGATTGGACGTCCAAGCACTATCTCGTGGGCAGCCCGTTCCCCAGATTAAAACCCCTGGTTTTTTTTTTATTGGGGCGTTCTCAAAGAAAAAGTTTATTCAAAGCCCATTGACAGCGTAGCCGAGCTGCGTGAACGAAGTTCTCATCATCTTGTAATAAAAATGTTATTTCCCTATCTGACTTTTATTCCAATAAACCTAAACTAAATTAAGATTCTTCATTATTTTGTTAATTTTACTTACTTTTGTTGACTTTGGTAAAAGTGGCGTCACTATCTGTCAAGCTCGCTCAAGGCGAACATGTCCACTATCCATCTCACATTAATAAAAAACATTGAACTGATTAAAATGGGTTAGCAAAAATCGGGTTAGTATGCAACTAAAAAGTATTGTACCATTTTACAATCCCCATTAAATACGCTAACTTTTAGCGATATATTGTAGCTGGCCAAAGGCCCTGCATCTACAAGCCTCGGGGCCTGGGGACACGCCCCATTGCTCGGGCGTGTATCTCGACCAGCGAATGGCTGGTCGGTGGTGAGGATGGCCAACGGCCATCCCTTTCCCTAACCGCGGTAGCGGCACTAGCGGGTGTACGGCGTTACACGCGGTGTGTAACGCGAGGACGATATCGTCTTCGACACAGCGGCGGAAGTGCGGTTGGGTCTTGGCCCCAATGGCCTGTTCCTACCGCAGTAGGTCTCGTGGGAGCGGAAGTCCGTCAGGAGGATGGGCGTGGAGTGGAGCGAAGTTCTCTGGATGTGGGTGTGGTCCGTTGTCGGCCCTGTCAAACTCCTCGATGGACTCGGATCTTGGGGTCGCGGGCTATTTCGTTCCTGATGTAACGCTAGGCCCCCACGATTGCTCGATGGGCGAGGTTCTGCTGCGCCTGGAGCCAGCGCCTCTGCGAGGCGGAAACCAGAGCATACCACACCGGAGCGGCGTAGGTCAAGCGCGAACGGACGTAGGTCTTGTAGACGCCTAGTTTCGTCTTTACAGGTAGCTTGGATGCCAGAATTGGGTATAGAGGACCGCTCGAACTGCCCTGGCTTGTCGAACTGAGTGTTCGACTTGGGGCGCCATACTTAGAGAGCAGTCCATCCGGCACCCAAGGTACCTGATGGTATTCTGGCTCGTGATCGCTTGACCTCGCAGCTCAAGCGTGGGTCGGTATTTAATGTGGCGGATGTAGATGGCGGACATCTTGTCGACATTGACAGACATCCGCCACTTATCCAGCCACTCGGGCAGCAGGTCCAATTGGCGCTGCATCTTCCTCGCCGCAATTGCCGCCTTGTGTGAAGACGTTCAGAACGCACTGTCATCCGCGTACAAGGCCAACAGCACGTTCTCATCCCAGTCGGAAGCGTTTTGCTCCAAGGTGGGAATGGCGTCCGTATACTGCATACAGCAGTGGCGACAGACTACTACCTTGAGGTACACCGGCTAGGATGCATCGTACCGCCGATTCGGCTTCCTCGACTCGTACGAACTTCCGGTCCCGGAAAAATGACGCTACTAACCGCACGAGCGCACGGTGGATGGTGGTCTCTTCCAGCAGCTTGTACAGTAGGCCCTCGTGCCACACTCTGTCGAAGGCCTTCTCTATATCGAGAAGGACCCCCAGACAGATGCGGCCCTTGTTATAGTGGGCCGCAAGATAGTGCAGCACTCGGGCCAGCTGCGCTGTGGTGGAGTGGCCGCTGCGGAATCCGAACTTTTCCCTGCGTACCTCGATGCAGGGAGCAAACTTTTAATGGCACTAGTACATTTTTTTAAAGGAGGGCCTTAAAAGTCGAAAAATTTAGAAAATTTTAAATTCATAGTTGAACAAATAGTCTTATAAATTCAAGAAAACTTGGGGCAGTTGTGTCATTATTTTTGATTGTGGTTCTAAAAATATTATTTATGGTTACAGTTCCAAAGTTTAAATGAACAAGAATAATAAAAATTAACCACAATAAACAAAAAATGGTTACAGTTTGACCAAATTTCTAGTATTTTCTTAAATGCCCATAACTTCCAAGCTGCATGGGATAGATTTTATTTCTGATTTTTCTCATGATGGTTACAATCAATCCTGTCACCCCGTTAAGCTTGACATTGAGTTCTGGGCTACTGGGACAACCGATATAATTAACTATAGCTCCATCCCATTTAAGTGTAGCTATTATATCGCATTTTATCACACAAATGTGGTTCTTTAAGTTGATGTAACTTTTATTTATGAACCGACCAATTTTTTATTAATAATAAATCTAACATTGAATCTTAAATGAAGCTTACTACAGTGCCGTTTCTGAGATTAGCGTCTACAAACACACAGACAAAAAATTTAACAATCATTGTTTTGGGTTCTACTGCATTGATAGTGGTTGTAAATAAGTTTTTCTCAAATATTTACATGTAGAGACAACAATCAGTTACATTTTTATTATTGTTTTGTTATTATTTATGAGAATCTTTTATCCATAGGTCTTTGAATATGATCTGCCAATTTCCTTTTCATTGTTGGGCTGTCTTCTCTTGCATCTGTTACTTACCCTTTTTGTTTTAGCTATGGGTCATTAAATAAAACACCCAACTTTGCTTCAATGTATTATTCATTTACTACATTTTATGTTAAATCAATTTGGAATAAGCCACTTTTTTATATATATAGACAATGATTTCTAATAATAATAACATTTAATTAATGACATTCTAAATAGCTACTCTAAAAAAAATCACAAATGTCACCATCATTATAAAATAAAACATGTTTTAAAAAAGTGATGCTGGCAAGAATGGCATCTATTAAAGTCGTAACGTAAAAATACGACTACTACAATATATATTTATGGAATGAGAAGAAACTAAAATGGCTAAAGTTATTTTAAATCTAGTGCTTTGCCTCAATATATCAAAATAGGTCGTAAAAATTTTAATATAAAATATAAATGAAGATATATTTTTAAAAGTAGGACAAAGGTCAATTATTAAATTGGGCTACAAAATAATAAAGTATAGATCGCGTCAAACTGAATTACCACTGACATAAGCATTGTATTTTTATTTTTAACATACTAAAAAGCCAATTTAGCGTCCTATTTATTGTTATTTATCTCTTCTGAAAATTATTAAGCATCATTTATTCTTAAAGCATAGTTCAGGAGATAGCCATCAAGTTAGGTACAATCTATATAAGTCACTTCTTTAACAAGACCATTCTCTTAAAAACAAATTAAATATAAAAAAGGACTCTTTATCCATCATCATTCAAATTCTTATAACTTTCAAAGCACCAAAATAAGTAAAATTTAAGTTAAAAACGTTTTTCAACAATAACTGCTAAAATATTTAAAAATTCTACAATGCCTTTATAATATGATTACACATTTGGACTTTATAAGCACCACAAGAATAAGACTACACGTGTTTTTTAACAATATAAAACATTAATAACAACCCAACCTAATGAATAAATGCGTAATGGGATTAAGAAATTACAATTAAATTTCAAAATTGCAACTTTGAAATTAAAATGTATAAAAGGTTCAATATTTAGATGTGGCAAAGTGTAAGATAGCTTAGTAATTAACATAGCATGACTAGAATCCAATACAAAATGTATTGAAGCTCTTAAACCAACATTTTGTTAAAATTTTTGTTTTAACACATGGGTGATGGATACATTGATCTTTTCGTCTATTTTTATTTATTTTTTTATTAGAAATTGATAGGTACTGTAATAATTTTGTTACTCTTCCAATTGTATTCCATTGTCAATGGTAATTAATAAATATTATAAACATAATAACAGACTAAAAATTTAATTGGATTATAATTTGCCATGAAAGCAATAATACTTAAATCATATAATATACCGTAGAGATTAAATTAATAAACTAATACAATACGTATTTGCTTAAATCGACTTAGAGAGCTTTATATATTATTAACTTTTAATTTAAAGGAATACAATCAAAATAAGATCAATTTATTTTAAAAGGAATACATGTTTTGCAAAATAATTTTTAAATAAACTTCTAATCTTTAACCTGTATTCACATAAAGCAACATTTAATTTTATATAACAATTTTGTGCTTAAAACTGTGCCCAATAAGAATAATTCAATCCAATTATAGTCATCGCTCATATTGCTCAAGTCAATATCAAGTTGTCAGGTAAACATTATCAATTTTGCAATTCTCCCGTTACAACCCCGTCCATAGCTTAGTGGTTGAAGGTGTATAACAGAGGGCCATTCGTGAAGTGGTAGGTGCTTTTCACGTGCGAAATTAGCCTGCCGTCAAGTAAATGCCGCCCGTACACAACTGCTTCGAACTCGTCGTTGGCGAGGCCAGACATGATCAACCAACGAACCAAACAGGAACCCCTGAACACGCCACGGTACGTGCGCATTCTCCATCTACACACAAAATAATTTAGGGTTGACTGGAAGAGAATACTTATTAGCATTAAGTTTGCCTTTTGTTTAGCCTTAAGTTGAGGTGTAAACAATAAATTTTTAAATAAATAAAAATAATTTAACAGCATCTAATCGTACTCCGACTATGTAAGCGGGCAGTACCGAGGTTCAGGCTAGCCGGCCCGTTCGCCAGGCCACCTCAAGTCCGTCGGATCGGTAAAGGCCCACAAGGCCAACAGTGGCTCATCAAGCCAAATAAAAAGCGGGCAGTGGCTGCTTAGTAAATCAGTTCTGTTGCGTACGGCGACGCTTCCGCATCTCGTGGAACTAGCCGGACCAATAGATCTACAGGGCTAGCGCAAGCGAACAGAGGTGCTTCATACCATATGAACTCTTTCTGGACCTTGCATTCGTCTATCCTTGTATTGAAGTTTGCGAAAATAAATAATTCAATTGTTAAACGAGAGTTTATCATTTTACAGTTTTATTTAAAAACAATTAAATAGAATTTGAATAAAGACATTAGAAAAACAGCAATTAATAAGTCTACAAGGAAAAGTTATCTACTATAAATATTTCTTTATATATTTAAGTAAACTATAAATATCCAGTGCTGGGTAAAAGTGGCATGGGTGTTTTCAGTTTTTTAGCACTATTAATAAAGAATCAGAGTAAAGAGTAACAGTCTATACATGTCCCACGGCTGGGCAAAAGCTTACTCTGAACACAGGCTGTTACGGCATAGTCCATCACGCGGCCCTACTGCGGATTGGTGGACTTCACATATATTCGAAATATTTCTTTTTTATATTAGCTCGAAAATATGGAGGTCTTCTTGCACCGCGTGTGAGTGAGCACTTAAAATTAAAAAATTATTTGGTGCCCGCATAGGATTTGTACTCGACTTGCTCAAGTATCTTGAATTAAAAGCGAGCGCCCGGTTACTGAGCTATCACGGCTCTAACGCATACATACTGTAACTTATTGTTACAGTTCAACAGCCTTAGACTATCAAAATGGCATATCGAGTTAATTACTTCAAATGTATGAATATGTCATGTCTGAGTGGGTATGACACAGAAAGCTATTGTTCTCTCCATCCCACCGATCTCTGTAACTTCCAAAACTCTGTCTTTGGCGGCCATATTTTCAAAAAAGAGAGACTTAGTTTGTTTTTTTATGTGAAAAGTTGCCAAGCGGGCAGGTGGTTCACCTGATGTTAAGTGAATACCACCGCCCATGGACATCTGCTACAACCAAGGGTTTGCAGATGCGTTGACAACCTTTTGAAAATTTGGCTCCGGCTACGTCACTCACCAGAGGAAACGCGAAAGATTATACTTCCACTTTACGCCGGTCTTCTGTGAGGTCGTGGTACTTACCCGGACGAGCCTGCCCATTTGTGCAACAGCCGAGGCTACTGCGTGGCCCTACCACCGGCAAATGTGAAGGTTGGTACTTCATTTTAATTTCTACTCTGTTGTAGCCCCTTGTCAAAGGCAGTAGTAGTTTTTTTTTGTAGTTGCTGTTACTATAGGATGACATTAACCTATGTTGTAAGGACGTTTTATAAACGCGCACAATTTATTCAATAAATTTCACGCGGGCAAACACCCAGATGTGAAACAATTATCTGTGGGTCACACAAATGGTAATTGTACCGTGTGGGATTCCCACTTCCCCAGGCGCCGAAGTTAATACATTGGCAAAAAAATATATATATATATATATATATATAAGTGATAACCATGTTTACCAGATCGCGTATATCCTAGAATTACTACAATATTTTTTTTATTCGAGAAAATCTAGACAAAATTGTTCAATAACAAACCTTATATCTTCTGCAATAGCTTCCTCGCAACGCGACAAGTGGTGCGTGATGAATTGATCGCAAACGTGTTTAGTTTCGAAGCTCAATTCTTCAATGGGCGGTAGAACCACGGTTTCCGCGCCGTGCCTGTAAATTTATTTGTGCAGTTTTAACAACACCATTTGGTAGAATGCAGTAATTTAATATTATAGTAATTACGACAAATTAATAAATCTTTATTCTAAATATTATCTACTACTTATATTACATGTATTCAATATATATCTTTAGATATGAATGAATACAAAATAGTACATGTATAGTGGTTTGAGTTTTTATCTTCATAGGATACAATAATTATAAGGTAATATTATTGAAAGTATTATTAACCATTTATTCTTCAAGAATCTAACGACGGGCACGATGATCTCTTGAGGATTAAGCCCGAAAAGGACGAACATAACCAACGGCTGCCCGTTGTTCACGGCGATGTCGAAGAATTCAATCTCGATGAATATTCCGCTTTCGTCCTTTCTCAACACTCGCCACGCAGTGTACGTTACTCCCTGGAAAGGACAAGTTGTAAAAGATTTTATTTTTTATTAATAATGTACATTGTAAGGTATTTCTTGATTTTTCTGCATTTCTACATAAGTACGCACACATCGTACGTTAGAAATTAACAATGCTTTTTTTTTACTCCGGTAACTCAACGGAATTCACACTTCCATTCAAAATACGAATCTAAAGCTTTAACACCGTAGCGCCCGCTCGGTCCAAAACAGTTTATTCTATTCATGAATCCTCTGGATGAGTTTAGCAGTAACTTAACTGTTGGTATTCCAATAGGGTTCCGTATTCGGGAATAACGGACGAGTAGAGGCCCTGGTAAAAAAAAAATACGTTGATACGTTGTGTATCAAAGAGCATCGCAACTCACGATGAACATGGCGAGGTTGTACGCGATCACGAGGACGGTGTGGCTCATGAGCTGGCCGCCCCTGCCTCGGCTCTGCTCGGGCGGCAGCAGGCCCAGCTGGCCGGCGGCGTGCTCCAGCTCGCTCAAGTACTGGCACTCGGCGGGCGCACCGCAGCGCCCTCTGCGCAAAGGCCGGCACGCGCACCCCCTGCGCGGCGGATTTCATGCAACAACTCGCTTCGACAAACGGACTAGTTGATAATTTTGCAGTATACGTGTACATTTACAACAAAACGAAACACATTAAACATCACACATCACTACAATTCTTCATTTTTCATTTATGAAATATCTGGCTCGCTGAGTCGCTGCACATTTTCTATTTGATCTCGAGGTATTTGGTATTTACCTGACTGTATGATCCAGATTATATTGTTCAATAACAATGAAATTGATGTGGAATCACGTGGGAGCTAAACCGAGCCCAATATAGAAGAGTTTTTATATTCATAATAGAACACTAAAAAATACCACCGAATGCAATTGTTTTTGCTCATCCTTTTTTGAAGTCGGTTATAGGCGAAACAACCAGCATAAACAAACAGCTAATAGGCTTGAACAAATGACTCACACCAGAAACCTTTTCTTCTAGTTGCATCAACTAATGGCTAATGGACGAAAGTCGATGCAAATGCATATTTAACATTGTCCCGGAAACCGATGATGCTATGATAACTAGGACGGTGAAAGAAAATGTGAAGTAGAAAACCAGGTGTTTATTTACCTATGAGCCTTGAGCCTTTTTTTAGGTTCTGTTACAATAAGAGTTATTTTAAATAAATACTAATACTTAAGATTACACACTCTATGCTAATAATAATACTAATACTGTATTGTATCGGATGTTATTTTTCCATTCAAATGGCAAAAAATAAAAGAAGAATCAATAAGAAAAGCTTGAGAATGGATGTGTTGATTGCTGCCATGAAATTAGAGTTCATCACTAAAACATTTCTTGTTTAGTAAGTTTTCTGTTAGCTACATGCTGAGGCAAAACTAAATAAATTTATGTTATGTTTTTAGTTTGTCATGTCTATTGCAACCCTTTTCACAAGATTAGCAATTACCTTTTCCTTTTTTTAGCTAGTCCCAAGAATAAAGTAAATGAAAGCGTACTTTCAAAAATTGTTAGTAAAGCAAGCTTATGCTCAATTTTTTCTGCAAAATCATGCTTTCACAACAATGCAAGTACCTTATAGACTTACTTGTCATTATGAGCCATGTCTTGCAAGTCGCGGGAAGAAGAATTCATGAATCCTCCATTCTCGCAGTTAGGGTCGTCGGAACAACAGCCATTAGGGTTTTTGTTAGGAGACGGCGTCGCGGTTATAGTTCCATAACAGCCTATGTACAGTCCAAAGCAGTTAGTGTTAGGGGGAATATATAGTGGTGAAGTACAACAAAAATTCAGAGATTTAACGGTGCAAGTGAAAGTCAAGTGTGCAGCAACTTTTATTTTTTTTAATTAATTCACATAAACTTCATGCACATACTTGTTTAAAGTTGCACAGAATGCCAACAGAATTTCTTAGTAGTCAACGTAAGGGTGGTGAGGAGAATGTGCAGTAGGTGGCTAAATACAGCGTGCACCATGGCAATTGTTCACCTATTTACATTGTTGATGTAGATACGAAAGATAGCTAAGCAAACTTGCGTCAAAATATGCGTCAGTAAAATTAAATGAAGTCATTCAAGTAAAATATAGTATAGGTTTGTCAGATGTGAATTTTTTAAAATATTTCTTTTTCATTAACCAAAACCTAAAATAGATGCCAATAGATGGAAGTACATTTTTTAATGGAACAACAACTTCAAAAGACGATGTATGAGTATGTAGTTATTACTATTTAAGTTATTGATTATTTGAATGAAAGATTCATTGAAATGTGTGGACTTGTCTTAATAACGCAACTTTTTTCGATAGAAAAATGGAGCAGAAATATTTTTATTGTATCAATTAAGTCTGATAAGATCGCGCTTTTACAATAAGGCTTTGTAAACTAAGGTAATAAATATATCTCACAAATAAAAATATAACATCAAATTATTTGTTGAAACTTAGATTTTCAAATTTTAGAAGAATTAAGTTACTAATTTTAGTTTTCGAATTTGATGACTCAGTGGCGCAGTCGCCAAGGTATCGGCTTCGGCGTCGGGGGTCGTGGGTTCGATTCCCACACGGAACAACTATTTGTGTGACCCACAGATAGTTGTTTTGCATCTGGGTGTTTGTCCGTGTGAAATTTATGTTTGTGAAACGTCCTTACAACACAGGTTAATGTTATCCTACAGTAAGTGCAACGTTCTTTAAAAAGAGAAAGAGAAGAGAATTATTAAACTAATCATTAAGTAATAAAGGTATCATTTATTTTATTTAAAATATATGTTTAATGCGATTCTTTTATATTCAAAAATTTTTACCACTGCAATGATTGACCCTGCTCCTAACGTGTAACCCGCGATACGAAATTTATGAACAAAAAATTCACATTTGAAGTTATCTTGTGGGCAGTGATGTTGCTCTTAAAATCAAAATCTTAAAATAAAATTTAGTCATGAAGTTTACAGAGACTAATTTTGTTGAAATTTGTAAGAAAAAAAAGAAACCGAAAATATAAATATAAGAAATTTACCATGATCCTCCATTCCTATTGCGGCGAATAAAAAGGAAAATGTAATAATTAATAATATTGTTTTGTTAAAAATATTGTATTGAAATTGCAATGATAACATTATTACTGCTATTTATCAAGAAATATGTTTTTTATTTAAATTTTAATTAATTTTTAGTTAATTATTAATTAAAAATACTAATTTCTTGGCATTAAAACGAACTGTAAAATGTTTAAATAATATATGGATATAAACAAGGCCATTTCAAGCAAATTCTGTAAATCATTCAGGCAATTCAATCAGCCACCACTAGAACTGCAGTTACTTTTGTATTGCAATTTTCTTTGAACATAATACTTGCGATCAATTATAATTCTTTGCAAAGAAAGACGACTCAGCGATTTTTTTATATTTTTCTATTTGTATTGCATTGTAAAATTATTATAAATTATACATTAATAATTCGTAGTAATAAACTTCTGTTGTTGTTCAGTTATTTACTTACCCATATTAGATACAGACTGCGTATGTGAAGTAGGCTCTGCATTATCGACGAGACTGGTGGATTCATCTGGTGGGCTGGAACCTGACGCCAGATCCTCAGATAGTGCAGCGAAGTGAGAACTTCGTCTACGAAATCTAATGTATAGTATCAAGCAACCCGAAGTTACTGAAATATAAAACGAGACATGTTTATATGTTACAATAATTATAAATATCTGCTTCCAAAATTTATGTAGATTTAAGTAAATTGTATATAATTTACTTAAATCTATAATAAAGGGATAAAGAATACATTACTTCATAGTCATTATGAAATAAGTGGAAAAGGAGGAGTAATAGCTATAACGCGGTAGAAGGTTATAGTGGTGATTTCAAGGCGACAAATTGTATAAAACAAAAATATCTATAGTGCACTCATATTTCTAGTAAAAATCTAAAAGCCAACTCGCGAGGCTACTTTTTCTATTATGAATACTATTAAATTAAGACAGTGTCCGTTTTTTAGCGTTCCATATCCAAAAGGTAAAACGAGACTAGTACTAGGACCCTAGTGGACTAGGCCTCCGCTGTCACAGTTTTTTCGTGTTCTGTGTTTCTGTTGCCGCTATAAGAACAAATACTAAAAAACAGAATAAAAAAAATATTTAAGTGGCCTGCCATACAACAGACATGACTTTTTGCCGTTTTTATAAATAACTAGCTTTTCGCCCGCGGCTTCGCTCGCATTAAAAACTATATATACAACACTTTTTTCGAAATAAAAAATAGCCTATGTCTTTTCTTAGGTTCTAGACCATCTGTGTACCAAATATCATTTAAATCGGTTCAGTACTTTGGCGTGAAAGCGAGACAGACAGACAGAGTCACTTTCGCAGAACCCTTCGGGCGCGAGTCCGACTCGCACTTGGCCGGTTTTTTTTAAGTCATATCTGTTACTCAATCAGACAACACAACGAGTCGTGACAGCTCGGTTATAATTCAAAATAACTTGCAAACGAGTATACGGTTCACATGATGTAAGTGACCACCGCCGCCGAAAGACATCCACTACCCCTGGTGTACCACCGATACGTTCAAACAGATTTAATAGTAGGCTCCACTTATCTCACTAGACGAAACGTAAAAATATTATACTTTCACTAGATGACGGTCTTCTGTGAGGTTGTGGTACTTCCCCAGATGAGCCTGTCAGTTCGTGAAACAGCAGAGGCTGCTGCGTGGCTATGTCGCGTGGAGGCTTATGCCCTAATACCCTCTGTACAGAGGAGGCCTTAGCCCAGCAGTGGGACATATAAAGACTGTTACTATTCTATCATTCCCACAACAATCAGCATTGCATCAAAAACTTTTTTTTGTATAACTGATGTTACGCTTTCAGTCCTTAGACTATTAAAGCTTCATCGCACGCAGAACCGGTGGGCTAGCCAGAACCCACGACTCTAGGGCCGTGCATGTACTCATGCGTGCGTTAGTAGTGCGTACTGGTAGTTGCTTTATAGTTGCAGTCTTTGGTTTTACTTTATACATACCTGTTAGGCTGAAAACGAGCAGGCATAGACGAATTGCATCTGTAGAGCTGCTTTCTAGTACTCCTGCAGTGGGTTTCGTTGCTAGCAATATGATTACCATCACGGCAGGAGCCCCCCAAGCTACAAATGCCAGTACCGGCCACAACGTCAAAACGAAACATGGTCCCCGACTCTAAAATGAAAACAAGTAAATTGGTTATTGTTATAAAAGGTGGCTAGACGTAACTAATTACTGTCTTTGGAGAAGGTTGAAAATGCACAGCCAAACCAAATTCAAAAGTACAAATACTTGCAAATGAAATTGGTCTCATCTGTGCGTGATTCTTCCCCGATCGAGCCATTCTGTTTATACAAGAGCAAAGCCACTACATGACTCTAGTATAGACTACAGTAAATGAATTAACACAATCAAATTAAAAAAACAAAATTACTGTATTGGTCAGGGATAGCAAAACTTTATGGATGACAATAACATTTTTTCTAAAAGGTTTGATGAAGCCATAGACATCATTGGGAAAATAAAAAGATTAAATAATATTTATTCAAAACTCTGAATTTGATACAAATAGAATACATTTGGGACTTGAAGTATAACATTTAACATTTCAGTTACATGCATAAATCAGAAAAAACTGTGACTGTTCTGTTGTTGTGTACTAGTACTAGGTGGCAAACAACTTATAGTAGGGTTGTAAGTTGTTATTTTCGGCAGAATGTATACAGATGTACATTCAAATTCTAGGCCAATATGGGGGAAAATTTATTAAAGCACTTCATTAACATGTTTAATGCCACTGCCACTAGAATAAAATTCACTTGAACTCGCAGGGTGCGCTAACTATTTTAAGATCCAAACAATCCAAAAAAATCTTCGATAAAACTGGCCTACCATTAGCTGTCCATATTTTTCTAACCCAATGATGACAATAATCTTTAAATGTGGTATGGCTATACAGCAACGTCTGCTGTTACAATATCGGCCACGCTCATTTAGGGAGATACAATGGCTTCACAGACGACTTTGGCTTTTCTTCAGTGTGTGTGCAATGTCGCGCCGACATATTTAATAGTTGCATTAGATTTGGATTGAAGACACATCTACATACATAAATGGGCAGCCATAAGATCATGCATTAAAAAAAATTAGTCTTTGTCATTACCTCCAAGGTAAGTAGCCCGACAGACAACATACATGTCCATAGTAAACAGGAGTATGTCCCAAATATCTGTAATGCTTGTTGCACTGTTTCCTGCCATGATGGTGGGTAATTGTTAAATGGACCGCCCCATATTACACTAACTGCTAATATTATCTGAAAATAAAACAAATATTTGAACTCTTGATATTTTCACACTTTAATCATAATTGGTAGAACTGCAATCAAATAAACATAAAACTTTAATGATGTGGTCATAATATCTGTTGGTTAGATAGTTACATGGTTACATATAGATAGTCATATAAGTGATATCTCATTTGTGTAATGGTACAATGATTTAAATATGAGTTCTGTTGTTATGATTAATTCATTATGCTTGCAATAGGTTTTCTATAGTTTTTATTTTATACAGGGAGATTTTTTGAGAAGTGCCCAAATTTACATAGGACAATTCAAACTCGGTAGTATAATCGTTTATTGAAATAAAAAACAAAGTTTTTTTTTCCAAAAAAAATGCCATTCTATTCCCAAAAAAACAGAATGTGTTGATGATGCGGTAGCCATTCATAAATACCTAAATTTTACTGTGCACGAACTTGCATGTTAGTTATGAATGATCACGCGTAAAATAAATGAGTTTCGTATAAATCACACACTTTTTCAGATAAGTTCAAATGAATGTAATTAATTACTTACGAGTTTTTTTAATATTTATCATTTTTTATATAACATTATTTATGTCTAGAATTTAATTAAAAAAACGGATATACTTAGAAAAGCCATCCTGTATAAAAGTTTTGTCTATGTCATTATAGCATTTTTATCTCGAGAAATCTGACAAATTATAAAAAGTAATATTTACACATAACACATAAAAATCTATTATTTTATAACTATTATGCTTACATAAGAAGTTAGAATTTATAAAATATTTTTTAACTTATGTTTCAGTCCCGAGACTATTAAAGCTTTATTGAATGCAGAACCGGTGGGCTAGCCAGAACCCACGGGTTAGAGGCCCTCCACAGTTGGGAGGGGCCACACATATGCTCTTGCGTGCGTTGGCTAAGAAGTGTCGCCTACGGGCTATCGAGGTTCGGTGCGGACCGTGACCCCGATAGCCGTTGACTGTGCTTGTTTAGTCGGTGGCTAGGGGTAGTGAGAACCGCCCTACAACGCGGGTGTACCTAGTGTACGCGTTGTTGGTTTCGCCGTGCTCGAAGACGAGGGCGAACTATGGTGTTTGTTGCTGCACTAACTGTGTGTGTAGTGTATGTTATATGACGGGACCCTCCGACGGATCCGACGAGGTCCCCTTCCTCGGTCGATGAGGACGATGCACGGACGACGCTTATTGACGCTCGCGTTTGCAACTACAACTGACTGATTCATACATTCGGAGAATTTTTTCATTCGTTGCCACAGCGTCGCATGACAAATCTCTCGTTCTAACAGTATTTTTTATCTCTTTTAAATTCATTCAACCCATTCATATGCTTTGTGACCTTTACAAATGATGAAGTTCACGTTATAGTTTTATACGTAAGGGTGTTCTAAAATTGTTTGTTTGGGAAAACTTAATAACTCGGTAAATATTGGTGTTTAAATAATGTAAAAGTTTAATACAATTAAAAAAGTTATCCTTTACATGTGTGTTCATTTATTGCCGCGGTTGTAACGACACGCTGTATTGTCATGGTATAAGAAAAGCTATAGAAAAGATATTAAATTAAAATTGAATAGATCTTACCTGAGAAATATTTAAACAGAAGGTAATTCTGTGGGGCATCCGTTTATATTTTTTTGTGACTGTGAAAACTATAAATATCCACAATGCAGCAAATAACGCAATTATAGAAAGGTCAAAACCAAACTTCTTCAACTGGTCAGCAAAATCCTTATTTAGAGTAATCACTTGAGCAGAAAGGAATGTAATAGGTGCTGATAGGAATGTACAAATAACCATTGAGGAAGCCATCTAAAAGAATGAAAATAATCAGTCTTGTAATGTTATTTCAACCACATAAGAACTAAAACACCAATGTTCACAAAAGTGAATAGCAGCATTTTTTATGTTACAATGTTGCTACTGAACTACTGTGAGATTGTAATTGCCTTCCCTTAAGAGACTGCAGGAGTTTACATATAAGCCAGAGGAAAAGCGAAAGTGTATATATATATTATTACTTGAAATTGATCTGTACCCCTTAATTGTGTATTATGGAATAAATCAGGCAATGTTAGGAGTGGTATCTAAGTTCTGCATGCAATATTTACATACATACATACATAATTATCTCTGCCTTATAAATTTGCTAATTCATACATTTTCTCTTAATTCCATAATATTTACTTTGTATATTAACAAACTAAATTTATATAATAACAACACTTACTAAGTCCATTTCTAATTGATATAGATTTGAAAACACAAACACGGCAGGTGCTGTAGGTATGGTACCATAAAGAAAAGCATATGTGGAGAGGGATGATGTTTCAGAGTCATTTTCACCAGGTTTTAGAGCTGTGACACATTCTCTCATCACAACTGGTAATATAATTCTGAAGAAGAAAATTATGAAGCTAATTAATGAATTTATTGTCACACGTTTATATACAGGTCAAACAATTAACCATAGTTTTCTGCAGTTGGGTAAAAAGCCAATCTAGCTTACTCAACCAAGCTTGACATTAGTAACCAAATCTAGATTTTGGGAAAAACAAGCAATGCACTCTTAGCAAGTGTGATAACAATATCATAAATAATTGATTGACATGATTACAAAATCATAAATCATTTTAAAAGAATAATATCAATATAATAATAACAACAGTTTATATGGTTTTTATATTCCCTCATACACACAATGAATTGATGTTAAGTAATTACTGCCACAGGATACATACATGTGCTTTACTTAAATAACCATCCTTTTATAGAGTGAAACCTTGATCATCAGACAAAACAAAAACAAAGATATTATAATATTGTGACTGTGTTCTGTGAAAACTTTAGCTTTTTCATTAAACTTGAACTACAAATATATTCTTTTATTACATTTAAAAGTATTTTATTACAATTACTTACAATTTAACCATTATTAAAACACAAGGTAAAATTAACGCCGGTCCTTTTAATCTATGGACTTGCCCAACCATTCGAAGTCCCAATAAGAAAAGAGCTGCTGCAGTAAAAGCTTGGCCATAAACCTTAAACCAAACAGATATGATTTTATAATTTTTGTGATATATGTCACAAGAATCAAATGTGTAAATATTTTGAAAAAATTTGATTAAAAATTATATTGTTTCATGTTTATTTTATAATTTCCCCCTTTTCTATGAAAAATATTTTTACACAAAGAACTTTACCTCTAAAAGTCCTTCAATATAGATAGATAGATTATGCTTGAAGATAATATTTCCAGCTATGCCAAGGACAGTCATTACTAATACTGGATTAAGTACTATTCCTTTTATTATTTGAAGAAGCATTTTCAGTTTGATAACATAATTTTCCTGATTTTGCAAGTTTTCACACTCGTTGGAATTGTTTTGTTTCTGCTTATTAATCTCCAGTAATATAAATGCAATGGGATTAAGAATGGCAAGTGATATGGGTGCCATTAAATATAGGTACAATGCATATTCTGGGTGAGTTTTTTCATAAATTGCATTAACTGAAAATGAAAGGTGTCATTATTAATAATTCTGAACCCAATCCCTAGCATAATTATTATGGTTGATGCTAATATTTGTGACAAATATTCTAATGCAAGAGGCATTAAAAGCATGTAAAATGTTATTGTTTTGTTCATGTTTTGTACACTTGAGCCAAATAGAAAAATACAGGGTACATAAAAACAAAACTTATACAGCTTGTCGTTACCATCGCAACATTAAATGAACACACACCAAACGCTACTTGCCAATAATCATAAAAAAAAATATTAACGTTAAAAAAAAACCATAATTAAAAAAAATATTTTTAAAACAAACTAATTAAGTAAAAAAGAAACAAAATTTGTAACACCCTATACAACTACAACTGACTGATTCATACATTCACAGACATTTTCATTAGTTGTCACAGCGTTACATTACAAGCCTCTTCCAACAGTATGTTTTTTTTCGTTTAAATTCATTCAACCCATTCATATGCTTTGTGACCTTTACAAATGAACTTTACGTTACAGTTTTATATGTAAGGGATGTTCTAAAATTCTTTGTTTTGGAAAATTTAATAACTCTGTAAATATTGATCTTAGAATGTAAATATTTAATACAATTTAAAAAAGTTATCCACTATATATGTGTTCATTTATTATCGCGATTGTAAAGACATGCTGTATAAGTTTGCGTCCAGACACACTATAATGCTGTTATATGACATAGGTAGTGATGAATTATGTAACAAGTAATAAAATGTAATATGTGATGCAAGGAATTGACTCTCTTTTTATTTAATTTTATTTTTCGGATATATTGGTGTTGGATACAATATGTTTAGCAAAATTATTTGTAATTCTGTTTTATGTTCAATAAAAAATAAATATTAATATTAATATTAATAAATATTTACGCATGGTATGTTAAAGAAATATCTCTGTGCACTAAACACACAATTTTCAGCTACCTTCAATGAAATATTTTTTTCACCAGGTTAGCTGGCAGAGAACTCATGCATAGAGTTAAGATTACCTTTTGTACATTACTTTTTTAAACATTTTTTTTGTATCCTGTATTTGGTGTACAATAAATACATAAAAAAAAAAAGTTTTACAGTGACTGTAGAAACATGTAGAAAAATGCCTTCAATCAATAGTCAAATACTAGGTCTCTACAGAGCACAAAGGTGGGCAATTGCGCCACATAAGCCAACGCAATGGGTTGCGCCAAAGTTTGTTTGTACATATACAAAAACCAAAATATCTTTTGGTAACTTTTTAGGGTTCCCTACCCAAAGGGTAAACAAGGCCCTATTACTAAGACTGTATCTCAAGAACCGTGATAGTTAGTTGAATTTTTTACAGATGACCCTTAGAGCGGGAATCTGACTCTGACTTGGCCACTTTTTTCATCATTACACTGACACCATTTCCAAATGTATATCGAGCCGTATTATAAATAACTATAATGAAATTATGACAATTCATAAATAAAATACTTACTGATTGGATATCCTAATGCAAAGTCATTGCTCTGCGTGCAAAATATTGCAAACATTCCAGCTTGCCCTAAGTTCATAGGCTTTGAAACAATTATAGTAACAATGACTACAGCAAAAAATACAATTCCTTTGGCCAACAACATCGAAAATAAAAATGTCCAATTAACAACACTGAAGTCTATTTGGGCTAAAGATAAAAATATTAATGATGGCAAGGCAAAAGTCCCCACAAAGGTGGCAATGCCTTTGGATTCCGATTTGGAAACCACATTTAATCTTCCAGCTACATACCTAAAATATTTTTAAATAATTACATAAATTGTCATTGGTTTAAGTTTGGACTAATTGTTACAATATTTAAAAACCAAAAAAATTCAATACTTAATCTTTTAAGGAAACTCATATTGGTCCTTCCAGTTATTTTGAATTAAATGAAATATTTTTATGATCATAAGAAACTTACCCACTCAAAATAACAGTGAAACATTGAAAAAGAGCAGGATATAACCTCTCTGAAGCTGCTTCAGCAACTTCTAACTGCATTTTCAAATAAATATGCTGAAAAAAGTTATAATTTATCCATTAAAATGCTAATAAGCCATGATAGCTCAGTGTCCTGGCGATCGCTTTTCATTCAACATATTAGATTAAGCGGGGTTGAAATCCCTGTGCTGGCACCAATGTAATCGTTACTTGCAATTTTAATCACTGACTTAACACTAATTCAGCCGTGAAGGCTAAATCTGTGAGGAAACCTGCATATAAAGCTTAATAATAATAATGAAAAATGAAAATACTTAGTAGTGGAGTCACCTCAGGTGCTTTTGTTTGCCTTTTATTTTTCTTAGGTTCGCTCACACGACTGTGTTATAATAAGATTAAAGTTAAACTTACCGTTTTTTAATCAATATATTATGTTATCATAGTCGAAAAACAGAAAAGCTCTTATATTGCACTTAATTTATATATTATAAAAAATATATATTCATAAATTGCAAATATGTTTAAACTGTTCTGTTTATGACCAAAATAATACTAAGTGAAGAAGAGTGAAGTGAATAAAACAACATTGGGATTCCGAAAAAATATCGGTTTATCGATATTTTTTTAATATTTCGATATATTTGGCCGTTATATTTTTATTCGAATTCAATTCAGTTGAACATTAACCATATAAATTCGGATGTTACAATCTTTATTTACAAGATTAAATCTATCTAAAATTACATATTATCTAATAAACCTAATCCACGCGGCATGGTGCCAAAAACGCTAGCTGCATTTCCTCGCTGAATAGATATGTGTTGTATTGTAACAAACCCAATCCTCTTTAACATATATAGATAACTAAATATTATAAGTCCATCGTCGTGGGTTCAATTTCTACATGGGTCAAAATACTTTTTCACAACATTATAATTCACACATACTCTCATGTGATAATTAGAATTACTTTTTGTGGATCTGGGTGGTGAAAATTTCCAATATCACAAAGTTTTAACTAAAAACCTCATTCTTTTGTGGATAAAACAAAATAATAATTTACATTTTTATTTTTAAAAAACTCGATAACTTTAACAATTTCAATTTATAAAAAAATAAATATACCGATTTATAGAGTGTAATATTTCGATACAAATTATTGATTAGTAGAATTCAATTGTCTATAGCCTTCCTTTCATAGACTTTTTCCTTTTCCGCTATACAGTTGCCCGATTTAATGTTTTTCCCTTATACGAAGGGAAAATGGAGCAATAATGTTTGTTATAAACATTTATAATCATGTATTTATGAGTATTCATGATGGAGTGATGACCTGTGCAAATGTGCGGGAAGTCGATGGATGCAGGTGACTCAGGATCGTAATTCGTGGCAGTCTATAGGAGAGGCCTATGTTCAGCAGTGGACTTAAACAGGCAGAAATGGTAATGATGATGATGATTTAAATGTTTTTTTATAAGAAATTATTTTTTTACTTATTTGTATTTTGCCTTTTGTTTTGGAAGTATTTATGGCAGGTAAAAGCTAGGTATTTTGATTTGCAAAATTATTGAGGAGAATTTTACTACTACTGGCAACTTGGTTCCGTTTCCGGCGGCCATTACATTATTCGCCTCCATTATCGAGTTGTTCGTTCGCCGGGTCAGTCGGAAGGAGTTCATGAAAAATTAAAATACATTATTCTATATTCTCTCTTAATTGAGAGGTAAGTTAATTTAATTAAGTATAAGATTACACAAAAATTGCTTTGTTTAAATTAACTAAATTATTCACGTAAGAACCTGTACGTTTTGTCCCAGATTATTAACTAGCGTTTACCACCACGTAGGTAGGCGCCTACGCCCTTTACACTCGACGCGACAAAATGCAGTTCAACGGTTTTCATAATCAGCATCCCATGTAAGTAATTATATTGTAGTGATGAAAGTTACCAGTAAAGTTATTGGTCAATATGGCTGCGTCACATTGTTGAACTTGTCGATGTAATAGGAGCGGCCATTTTGTGAAAAGTGTTTCGCTCAGCTGATAATGGCTGCATTGCAGTTCGTATAATTTCTTTCAACTTTATAATGATCAATAAAATAAAATTACAGTACAGTTAATTAGTAACTGGTTTTGACGATCGATTAGTAGAAAATTGTCATGTCTGTAGTGCGCATGTCTATTTGTCAAACAAATCGATACTTCATTATTGTTACACAATGTAAATGTATAGGTAACCGCAATGTAGGTCTACCTTAGTGCCTTCACACCTTGTCTTACACTTCATTAAGTTTACTCCATGATGGTATTGAATTTTTCCAACCAAAAAAACAACCTAAATTATAACAACTATTTTCACGCGGAACTATTAACTAATGATTGGTTAACGTTGCTAATAACTTTTTGGAAAATTAATGAGTGATGAATTTAGCTCCTCTCTACCTATATTGAATGGATCTAAATATTACTGAAATGAAAAGATAATAGCATTTGGGTTTGTATTCCTTAACCTACTATTTTATTTTCACATGGGTAATATTTATCGTTGTTATAAATATAAATAAAAACTGTATTTTTTTTTTAGAAATTATATATTTTGAGTGTTTACAAAACGAAGCAAAAGAATTAATACAGTGACATACAGTTAAAACATGAAATGAACTATGGATATATTATTTCTTTGGGAGAGGTATAGATTTTTTGCCATCCATGAGGAGCACAATTCTATTATTAGGAATTATTTTATGATCAATAAATAAACTTTATGCTTGGTATGAAACAAGATGAGTACAGTAGGCGCTCTGTAATCTGGCACCAAAAGTAGAAGCTTTAAACATATAATGTTAAATAAATTCTACATAAATCATAGATTGATATCCACAATGAGACTATTTATATAAGAGCTTTTTATTATAAAAATAAAATTTGCGAAATTGTTTACTCAATCGATTATGAGAGTATGTTGTATCTCATATTATTTGTATTCAACATTTAAAAATTATTTATGTTCATCTGAGCTTGCTGAATTTTCGAGTGCCTATTGAACTTCCTCAATACTTCCATAGAATCACACATACTTTTTGTATCAATATGTTGTGACGAAGTAATCAAATATTTTTCAGTCAAAAGTATGTGTATCGGTAAAATAAATAGCAATAGTCAAAACTTAAACCCAGTACAGAAATGAGAGACCTACCCTCATCATCAGCCTGTCCATGATTTAAATATTTTAATGTGAAAAGTTGCCAAACAAGCAGACGGTCCACCTGATTTTAAGTAAATACTGCAGCCCATAGACATCTGCTACACCCAAGGGTTCCAGATGCATTGACAACCTTTGGAAAATTGGGCTCCGGCTATGTCACTCACCAGACGAAACGTGAAAGTATTTGTCATACTTCCACTTTACGCCGGTCTTCAGTGAGGTTGTGGAACTTACCGGGACGAGCCTGCCCATTCCTGCAACAGCCGAGGCTGCTGTGTGGCTGTGCCACTGTTCAAATTTATTTGTTATAGATTTAAAATGCATCAGTATTAAAAGTGTTCTCTTTGGTTTAATTATTTAGGTCACATGCATGTATGTCATATCAACTAAATTCTTCTAAATTAATTATTTAATTATAATAAATAGTCTAGTCACTAATCCCAAACTAACCAATGCTTGTACTTTATGGGTACTAGATAACTGATTAACATACTTTTCTTTTGTAAATAAATACATATTATACAAATACAGACACCCAAAGGTTGTTTGCTTAATGTTTTTGAGAATAATTTAAAATTCGGTTTGAATCAAAAATTACAACAATTTGTTGACACATTGAATTGGTATTTCAAAATTTTCCTTCAGGACCTCAATGTTGAATTTGCAAAATGTTGATTCCCAAAATGTTGAAGTCGTAAAAAGTTGAATTTCCCACCCGGGTCACAATGTTGAATTCCTAAAATGTTGAATTCGCAAAAAGTTGAAGTTGCGAAATGTTGAATCTTAACTAATGAATTGCTCTGGGTGTATGGTATTATTGTTCCGTGTTGTTTGGTACTATCTAGGTCATATCGAAATAGTGCAAAACAAAAGGAAATCGAAAAAGAAAAGTCGAAAACCAAGTAACATCGAACAAAAAAAATTGTGTAACATTTTTTTTTGTTTTTTTGTATAAATGATGTTACTCTTTCAGTCCTTAGACTTAAAGAAGCTTCATCTTATATGGTATGAATTATTTTCTTATATGGAAGGGAAAGAGCTCCATGGAAGGTTGTACAAGGCACGAACTTTTCGTAGATATTGTTGCCTCCCTTAACTGGCTACCTTTCGGTGACTGCTTTGGGGAAACCAAAGGTTTTGTCTGTGCGATACAGGATCAGGTTATTAAGACGAACAACTATCGGAAATACATCCTAAGGGATGGCACCGTCGACATCTGTCGAGCTTGTCGCCATCCCGGGTAGTCACTTATTATCTATCTATCACAATGTTATCTCCGGTTATTCCATGCTTTCTAACTCTGAGTATTTGCATAGACCCAACCTAGTAGTCAGAATCCTACACCAGGAGCTCGCTCTGAAATACGGTCTCGTGGATCGGAAACTGCCGTACTATCCAGAGGCCGTACTCGACAATGACCGCGCAAGGCTCTATTGGGACCGGCCCATCATCTCGTAAAGGTAGATTCTCGCGAACAAACCTGATATCGTGTTGATGGACCGGGCACAGTCGCGGGTATATTTGGTCGACATTACCATCCCATATGACGAGAACCTCGTGAAAGCCGAAACAGATAAGAAGACGAAATATCTGGACCTGGCTCACGAGGTGACCGACATGTGGGGTGGTGTGCTGACTGAAATTATCCCGATAGTCGTGTCTGCGAATGAGTTGATCCCAGTCAGCCTCTATGAACATCTGAGGCGACTGAGACTCCGGGATGGAACGCTCCAAGTTCAAATGCAGAAGACGGCGCTCCCTGATACCACCCGCATCGTCCACCGGTTTAATATACAATATTTATATCTATATGTTTATTTTTATTTATAACCCCTACCGAGAAAACAAATATCCCCACAATAATAATTTATATAACTATCTATAAAAATCACAGATAAAAATACATTTCAATTTATTTTTGAATCAATTTAGATTATACTCTGATAGAGTTGTTCGCATTGTTGGGATACAACTTTTTTCATTTAACGTTTCAACTTTTTGCCAAGTTCAACTTTTAGCGAACTCAACATTTTAGGAATTCAACATTAGGGACCGGTAAATTCAACTTTTTACTGCTTCAACATTTTGGGAATCGACATTTTGCGAATTCAACATTTTGCAAATTCGACATTGTGGTCCTAAAGGATTTTTTGTTTTTTTAAAATTTAAATGTTAAAGATACAATTTGTCTAAGTTATTAAAAGTAAATTTTCTCTCAGTTTCAGACCACGACTTGACCGGAATGAACAATTCGGTAAAATACCGTATTTCAATGGCATCCCTGACTTCGGTGGCCCCAAAAACTTTGGGCCTAGAAACAATATGGGTAATAAAAACTTCAGGCCAAGGTCTGATTTTAATGGTATGAGAAGTGATTTTAACAATCATAAAAATGAAAACCAAAATGATTTTGGAGGCCCCAAAGAGTACAGACCAAGAAACAATTTTAACAACCAACAACAGAGTAAAAATGATTATGAACCTGAAAAAGTTGCTGGAGGCAACCAGTTTTATAATGGTCAAAATGATTTTGGTGGACCCAAGCAGCAAAACTTTCAAAAAAATAATTATGGATCCAAACCTTACAACCCTAACCAAGGAAACCAAAATCAACAAAATTATGGCCCTAGAAAATCTTATAGCCCTACTATGGGACAGAGTCAGCAAGGTATGGAATTTAAAGGTCGTAAACTACAAAGCATGAAAGCAAAACATCCTGGAGACAGTCTAGTTAAGCCAATGTGGGATTTGTCAAAACTTGGACCAATCATGAAGGATTTTTACAAGCCCCATGCTAATGTTGAAGCTCGTAGTGAGGAAGATGTTCAGGTTTTCCGTGCCACTAAAGAAATAACAGTTAGTGGTAACAATGTCCCCCGCCCTAATCAAATATTTGATGAGGGTAACTTCCCCGATCATATTTTAAACACAATAAAGGAGCAAGGTTGGGAAGAGCCAACAGGTATACAAGCACAAGGTTGGCCGATTGCTTTATCTGGTCGCGACATGGTAGGCATTGCTTCTACTGGATCAGGTAAAACGCTAGCTTACATGCTTCCTGCTATTGTCCATATTGCCCATCAACCAAGGTCTCAAAGAGGTGACGGTCCTATTGCATTGATATTAGCACCAACACGAGAGTTAGCTCAACAAATTCAATCTGTAGCTCAGGCTTACAGTGCTAATGGCTGCATTAGGCATACATGCCTTTTTGGTGGTTCACCAAAAGGACCCCAGGCTAGGGAATTGGAGAGGGGTCTTGAAATTGTTATTGCCACTCCAGGCCGTTTGATTGACTTTCTCGAACGCGGTACAACTAATTTGCGACGATGCACGTATCTAGTACTAGATGAAGCTGACAGAATGTTAGATATGGGTTTTGAGCCCCAAATTCGTAAGATCATTGAGCAAATCCGACCTGACCGTCAAGTTTTGATGTGGTCAGCAACATGGCCAAAGGAAATTCAAGCTTTGGCTGAAGATTTCTTGAACGATTATATCAAGGTCAACATTGGCTCACTTAACCTTTCTGCTAACAATAACATCAAACAAATTATCGAAGTGTGTGAAGAGCACGAAAAGGAGCTGAAGCTTACAAATCTACTAAAAGAAATTTCCTCAGAAAAGGATAACAAAGTTATTGTTTTTGTTGAAACAAAGAAAAAGGTAATATTCATAGTTTTATATGAACTAAGTTTTTTTTAATGAACAACTAAAATTGATTATTCAATATTTCAGGTCGATGATATTGCACGAGCCGTGCGACGCAATGGACACAAAGCTCTAGCAATACATGGTGACAAGTCTCAGCCAGAACGTGACGCCGTTTTGACGGAATTCCGAAATGGAGCAACTACAATTTTAATTGCTACTGATGTTGCTGCTCGTGGATTAGATGTAGAGGATGTTAAGTTTGTTGTGAATTATGACTATCCAAACTCCTCTGAAGATTACATTCATAGAATTGGTAATAAATTATATTGCATTTTTTGTTTGCATATATTTTGCTTCAAGATAAATGAATTGAAATGATAACTCTGTTTAAGGACGCACTGGACGCTGTCAACAATCTGGTACAGCATATACATTCTTTACAAGTGGCGATGCTCGCCAAGCTCGTGGTCTTGTTGCTGTGTTACGTGAAACTGGCCAAAATCCTCCAGCTAAACTAAGTGACATGGCCCGAAACAACAATAGCAGTTCTGGTATTTAAAAAGCATTTATTGCAGTAATGCATTTGAAACAATGATTGAAACTAATTTTATCTTTTTCAAGTAGGTCGCAACCGTTGGCAACAGAGGAAGGAGAATAACAGTGGCTCTAGCTCACCTCGTCAGCAGAATAATCAGTGGAATAACAAAATGGCTAACACAACTAATGAGGAGAATCAAAATAATTACCAAAACAGAAATGCAAACCAACAAGCTCCTCGATTCTCTAATCAAAACCAAAACAATCAAGGCTACAGACAGAACAACTATCAAAAGCAGGTGCCATTCCCAAGCCCTAATGTGTTTGAGTCCATTGGCAGTTACCAAGGTGGATATAACAATGGATACCAAAATGGCTATAATAACCAGAATGGATATGGGCAAAGACAATTTACGAGTATGTATTATGAAGAAATCATTTAAAATTATGCTCAAATAAAATCACATTTTACTTTTTAACCAACCATATAGTTTCCTCAGATTCTCGCAATAATGGACAGCAATATCGCAACAATAATACCAATGGAGGGAACAAATCTGGTGGATCTGGATCATCTTATGGATCTCCACCACCACATTCTTGCTACTCCAGCACATTACCCACAAATGCACCCACATCATCAAGAATTGCTTGGTTAGTAGAAGTGTTACATACAAAAAAAAAATTCCTATATCTTCCCTGTCCCCTATCCTACCATAGATCTTAGACCACAAGGTCTTTCAGAAATGTCAAATTTTGTATGAAACTCAATTTTATGTTTAATATTATAGCAATGTTATTATTTGATAAATAGGCGGAAAATTCTACGGTGGCGGTGTTGGCGGTGCAGGGCCTTGCGGTTATCAAGCGGCAGTTGGTGCCGGAGTTGCATACCCCCATTTGCCACCCGGCCCATTGGTCTATGCTGCCCCAATCCAACAGTAACTGGTTTATTCACACACACTAAAGACATTTATGTTGTTGCACTAAACACTAGCCAATTTAGCTGGTAATGTTTTAGAGGCTTTAGTGTGTTTGCTTCAAGAAATCTTTCCAAAACCTTCTGATAATAATGAGCTCTCTCCTCAACTTTCGGAAAAAAAAAATGATTTTGATGTCTGTACTTACAAATTGAGTGTCTAAAATATTACACTACTTATGTGGTAGGTAGATAGAAGTATCTCTATGCAACTTAAATATTTTTTTTTATTATTTTCTTGCTAGATTACTTTAATGTAGATCTGAATGAAAACTTCAATGCTGTTCCTAAAAGCAAGTTTCATTAAGGCACATTGACAAAACCAGTTAAATTTAATTATTCAATGTTAAATTTGAATAGTGGCATACATGCAATTTTATGCTAATTGTGATTTCTCTTATAAATTCTCTTTCAGATCCATTTAAAACAATATATAATATATGTTTAATAAGTGTGTTAGTTATATAAGTAATGGCATAACAGTTGACCATATCATTTTCTTATCACTGACTTATTTTGAAGAAAAAAAAACTGTTAATTTTCAGCTTCATTTCATAACCTAATATTTTTTTTACTTGTACCAGTATTTCTAATTGTATTAATTTGATTAAAAGCAATGTTTCAAATAATTTGTTGGTTCAGATTTTTGTTAATATATTATGTATCTTAATGTGGTCAACAGTTAGAAGCCAAAAACAACAACATACATGGTGGGTTATAATGAGCAAATTGTCATTCTCACCTTAGATTTTAATCATTATATTTGTTAGAGTAGTTGGTGTGGGTACCCTTATCTATAATATTGGGTGCCTTTCGTTTTTAAATGTCTGTATAATGTACGAAATGCACGAAACATATAGAAGATGAAATAAAAATAAAGGGGTGGGCTTTCAAATGACAGATATATTTTATATAAATTATTTTACTGTTAATGATCTTTACCAGTGAAACTTATGGGACAACTTAGTGTTAGAAAATTTGAAATGCTTTTGATATATTTCATAAACAAAAAAATCTGTATTGCCAGATAAAATTGTGAATATTTTTCTTGTGGAAAAATGTCAATGACATTTGAAGTCACTGATTTCGGAGTTATTTTTATTACGATTAGATCTTAAACTTGAGTATTATGCCTAGGTGTATTTAATCTTGTGTCGATGCGACTTGAGATAACCCAGCTGTTCTTCGAATGCTATAGAAATTGATTTTGCCATTATCAAAATATATAGAAGAATGTAAATACATTGCATTTAACTTAGGGAGATTAGTAATTGAGCGTTTTAAATAATCGAACAATGGTTATTTTCTTTTCTTAGCAACATAAGTGTTTCTTCATATTTGTTTTTTCGATTATTTTTTACATTGCGTAATTTCACATATTCGTCTAGTTATTTGACTGGAGTTTCTTTGTACGTAAAGGGGTTCTAAGGGCTATAACAATGAGATAGTCATTTGGTACAAAGTAGGCAATGGTTTTGTGTTGTTTTAGAAGCCCATTACTGTCCAAAGAGTAAAAATCTGTGATATTTCATTACTATAACCTGTCGTTGCGTTGGTCAATTGTTATAATACATAGGAACACTTCTAGTGCATGGAACATGTTTTGCTAGACAAAAATATATTTTTTGACTATTTGAACGAATTTCATGAATGTTTGTGACAACAAAACAAAGCTTGCACGTCGTTCACAGATATAATATAATATGATAGATGTAAGATTTAATATTTTATTGTTATTCAATTTTAGTTCTCAGTTAACCGCGAGGTGACTAAATTATACCAGTTCAAAGGGACGTAAACGTTATTATCGATCAACCCCCGTGTTTGTCTACATCTCAGGTATTGTGTGTAATAGCAACGGGTCTCAGGAGATACAAGGGGTGACCAACGTGTGTGAACCTCGCGTTTAAAAATTAACCCCGCGAGGTTCGCTTTGATATTCATGTACATTAAGCGGAAGAATGTGTATATGTGCATAACTTTCATCTAAAAGATGAAGAGCTAGCCTGTCTGCCCTATAACTGTGTGAGAAAGTTCATGCCCATTCATAGTAAATTGATTATAAAATCTGACATTAGCAGTATCCACGTGGAAAGGGGACGGCAGGACTAGATAGTTGCGTACGTTTTAGATCGGCAAGTGTGTCAAGTATGGTCGCGGATTGCAGGTAGCTCTCCTGTATTATGTACAAAGTACTGCACCCACCTCTACTAAACAACTGTGATAATAACACTAAGTAGCGTAGCAGGCGATTTATATACTAGTTACGTCCAAGGGAAGGAATGACATCATATCTGACATATGTATTGTGATAATAAATATATCGAGACGTCGTTTCAACAAGTTATGAAACTTTTCTCTAAACAAGACTGATTATAATTATTTCTAATTGAATATTTTATACATGTTCCACTTTGACTGAATGAATTAAGGTGTTTGTATTTATATTGATAGCATTCTCGTGCTGTGTGTTTATTTTTCCAAAATTTATTATTCACTATGTTGGATATGTGTCAAAATGCCTTTCTAAACGGTCACCGAAGTATAAAATTTGAAATACAAACACTCGTATATGTTCTTTTCTTCTTTCATTTATTGTGATGAAAAATGTTGTTGACAAATTAAGTGGCAGCGACAGTATAAATACTATAACAGAGTTAATTTATTTTTGTTGTTGATTTGCGAAATTTTATTTATTCAACCGGTTTATCCCTAAAACAAATGTAGTTTCAAGCTTTCACATAACACTATTTAAGGATTAGTTCCAAAATTTCGGAGTTTCTGAAAAATATACATAGATTTTTAAGTATGTGGCAATGCAGATCTTCATAAATATTGATTCTATTAACGAAGAAGTACATAGTTTATATTTATTAAAATTTAAAGTAAATGGAGGGAACTGAGGCTCCGATATAAACCTGTCCCAAAGGGAAGTCTTCTGAATGTTTCTGAGAAGTGCATTTCTTCTATGTAATACAGTATTAAATTCCGATTAATAAATTGATGTATAAATAAAGACCTTTTTTTTATTATTTCCTATTTGTACACATATTTGTTCAGCTGTAACCGAGATGAGGAGGGGTTGTCAGAGGCACTATAAACTGCTTCCCTGTCCTAGAGTACAAATTATGTGGATGCAACAAATTTAATAAAATTTGATGAGTTATGATTGTTCGTCGGATGATAATAAATATTGATTTGTGTCCGGGCACTCTCCTTTAATTAAATTTACTCTAGCAATCTGAGATCGATCCCGGTGGCGGCCAATGAAACTTAATTTTAAGTGCTGACTTATCGTGCTTAGCGATAAAGGAAACTTGCATATTTCCGAAATACAGAAACGACTATGCCCTATTACTCTATAGAAGAAGCCTTTGCCCATGTAACTTTTAAAAATATTTATTAGCTGTGCCCGGAACATTTTCGGAAGCGAGCGAGTATTGCGGAGTGAGACAGCGGGGAAACGAACCGACCTGGGATAGTTCGACCAGTACGACTCGTCGCGGAAACTGCCTGGGTCCGCACAGTCCGCAACTGCTCAGAAATCCTTGCTTCGTGTCAATGGTCCGACAGCTTAAGAGAGAAGTCCGATTATAGCTACTGATCGAGCCGAGGTCCGGTCCTCGGGCGCCCTCGAATCGACATTCTAAACTACCCCCGTTTTTGAGTGACAGCCCAAGCCGAGGTGCCCTCTCCGGGATCCTTGAGCCTAGTCACTCCATGGAGCGTCCGCCAAAGCGTCCTAAGAGCTTGGTGGCTTCCCGAAGTTGGCAAGCACAGTAGCGACCTATCCTATTCGATCCGTACGAAATTAACGCTTTCATGATAGCAGTGTCCGGGTCAGCTCACCTAGATTATACTCGAATGAAATTGTTACCGACTTGCACGTGCTCAGCGGTGAAGAAAAACTTCGTGAGGAAACCAACATATTTTCGAAATAATTAAAAACATATTTTTAACACTTTCTTTGGTCCAATCTATTCTTCTGTGAAATGCGCTACCTTTCGAAATCAGGACGACTAAAAATAGTCTCCGCATTTACAAGTCTATTATTTTATCAATGAAAAACAAAAGCGACTTCAAATAACTCGTTCTGTTTTCATTTTATGATTGATTTTCGAGATTTCCCAATATATCTCCGGAGTCCAAGATTCAATACCAATGAAGTTAATATGGGACCACATGGGAAGCACCAGCTTTCAAATAAAAAAAAAGAATCATCAAAATCGGAACACTCAGTCGAAAGTTCTGAGGTAACAAACATACAGAAAAAAAATACAGTTGAATTGAGAAGTCTGTTGAAAAGAAAAACTCCCCAATACCCGCTTAAAAAATTGTCGACAGTTTCACTGGATCGTTAATTATATAAGTATGATTATTATATATGAATACTAGCTGACCCGGCAAACGTTGTTTTGCCATATAAATTATTTGTAGGGTAGAAAAAAACTTAGGGATGGACCACCCCTAACATTTAGGGGGATAAAAAATAGATGTTGTCCGATTCTCCACCCTGGCCGATACGCACACAATTTCACGAAAATCGGTCGAGCCGTTTCGGAGGAGTTCAATTACAAACACCGTGACACGAGAATTTTATATATTAGATGTTTATTGTGTATTGAAATATATTTATTTTGCTGTACATTTACTTATAAATTTAATTTTTCAATGATATCGCTTTCTTTCATTTTACTTAAACTTCTCTGGACCACCCAAAGATTGATTGGTAGATAATGCTGTTTGCATTAAGTCTGCCTCTACATATTTTGTGTGCATAAAGTGTGAATAAATAAATAATTATGTAAAAATTTAATTTATTATTATGAGAATAAAAGTAATCTTCAGTTATTTATAGTAACGCCACCTATCACCGATAGGTCAACTAATGCATTGAGAGGAAATAATGTCTCATTGCATAATTTTACGTACAACGTTTTTGTTCATATATTTTGCGATAGAT